GTAAAAAAGAGTTTTGTACATTACAGGAGTTACGATTTAATGATTAAAAAAAATAAGAAATATAAACATATTTTCCTTTTATTATTTATTTTTTCAAGATGTTAACCGCCCCATCTATTATCTATTTTATTTAAAATTGTTATTTTATATATTTCAAAGTTATACAAAAAATATGAACTAAAAAGAACCTTTATAAAATCAAAATTTTATTGACGCTAAAATTTCTTTCATTGGTTTACCTACGAGTAACACTACATATACCGAATTTAAAGGTGTGTTAAAAGAAAATTGCATGTGAAAGACAAACATAATTATGTACCTACCTACGTATAGGTACGCGCGATGTCATGAATGTATCAAAACCACCCTTATAGCTAATTTATTTTATAAAATATTTACTCTTATATAAAATAACAACAATAATTTAGTTAATTATTATTGTCGAGTCAGAAATTATGTGTTATCCAGATAACCGGAAAGTATAGATTGATGACTCACTAAAATTGCACCACCATAAGAAATACACACATCACTATTTAAAACCAATAAAATAAGAAAATGTCACTGAAATCCAATATATTTTGATACTAGTTTTTGCCCGAGACTTTGCTCGTATGGTGGGTCATCTACAGAATATAGGCTATATGTCCTATTTTAACCTCCATAGAAAAATTAGTTATATGTAGACTATAAAATAGGATATAGCTATATACATAATATGTTATAATATGTACATTCAAATTTTACTCACAAAACATTAAGTAATTAAAGCATAAAAAGATAACAAACGTACACACATACATACATATATACAAACTTTCGAATTTATAATAGTAGTCGATGGAAACATAGTAATAATAATTATTTAGATTTTAGACGTTTATTTTGAGGATATCACAAGCTACATCCTTCATATATGAAACACCAGCGGCTCCTCCTCGCTTCGCTCGGGTTGATTCCCCTTACAAACTTTCATCCCCATTTTCGCCACCTTAACGGATGATTTCCGGGATAAAAACTATCCTATGTCCTTCCTAGGGTCTCAAACCAACTTTTTACCAAATTTCATCTAAATCGGTCCAATACTTTTTTAGTTTATTCGTTACAAACATACAAAAATACAAATTTTTCCTCTTTATAATATTATGTAGACGTAGGTACCTAACTGGCAATTATTTTCACTAAGAAATCTACAGATTCGATTTCCGCATCGTAGGAATAAATACAGAAGAACCTTGAAGCAATAAAAATCAAATACATTTAAGTATAAAGACTTAGTGAACATATTAAAGTCCACGTTTCAATGAACACAATTTACCTAATTTGAAAAGGATGTTTTACGTATGATTCATCATCCATTGTTATTTCTTTATTTCCTTCCATCTCATATCACCATGCTTATATTGTTTCATTTAAAAATCTGTACATATAATAAAATTCTAACTGTGTCAAATCTGCATATAAAATATTTTTTGGAAAATCTTATTCAAATAGTCATTATTATCTATGCAGAGGCCGAATCTATACTTTTTTGATTTTTTGTCTCTCTGTCTGTCCTTGAACGTGTCACGAGAAAACCACCGGACAGATTTTGATGAAATTTGGTAGGATGTTAGCTGGTTGTCCGGGTCAACCAAATATAGGATTTACTGCGGAAACTATCTCATCTCTGAGAAATCTATTCTAACCGTTAAAATACAAAAACCTTTTTTTTTTGTTGTTAAAACCGTTACATCTATACATATAATCAAAATTGTAACTAAGTCGAATCTGTAAATTAAATATTTTTTGGAAAATCTAATTGAAATACATAGACATTATTATCGATACAGAGTCCGAATCTATAGTTTTTAGAATTTTTGTCTGTCTGTCTGTCTCTTACCGCATCACGAGAAAACCACTGGACAGATTTTGATGAAAATTGGTATGACGATTGCTGGTTATCCGGGTCAACATATAGGATACTTTTTACAAATTTATTAACTTTTGAAAATATCTCATTTCTGAGAAAAAATATAAAAACTGCGTTGTAAGAGTATACTATAAATATGTAAAACCTAACAATTTTTTTAGGTTTTTGGTCATCTGAACGCGGGCGGAGCCGCGGGCAATGCTAGAGTATTTATAATATGTGTCTGATCGTTCGTAGTGGCTGATAGAATAGGCTCGGGCTAGCTTAATTTAATACGACTCTTATTTATATATGAATACATATAAAAGAAAATGTTACATATATATATATATATATATATATATATATATATAAAAGACATACATGCAGACGAACATAGAACCTCCTCCTTTTTGGAAATCAGCTAAAAAAGGGATTGTTCAACAACAACTTATAACAGTGCAGAAAGTGATTATTATATTACTTACTTATATTATACTAACGTCACATGCGGCTTTGTCCGCATTCAAACTTCCGATCGCTACCAAACTTCATAGAACATTGTCTGAAAATTTCATGAAAATCGCTCCAGCCGTATTGAAGTCCATACACATATAAGCACATCGATTTATATATATATATAAACATGTAAAAGGTTTTTTTTTTCGATTCCTTTCATTCAAGCAGCATTGAAGCAATGAGCGTGCTTTTGATTGCTCAGAGCTTCCCTATGTAGTGGAAAATGACAAACTGCTTTTTACTCTGGTGTACCTACCTATATGTTAGTTGCCGTGAGATATAAGTAAATTATTATTAAATGCTAAATGTGTGGGAAGCACTTATTTATACTAATATTATTATTATAAAGAGGCCGAGTTTGTTTGTTTGAACGCACTAATCTCAGGAACTACAAATCCGATTTCAAAAATTGAAATTGCGGTGAGTCGCTAGCAATATAAATAAGATTAATCTTTGTATGGCGTCGAAGTTCATTTAGAAACGAAATTAATAACAACTTAGAGCTAAGATTTAAACTTAGAGAATATAAATATTTTAGGATTTCCGAATATGGATCCGATATGCCGATGCAAATAATATTTACATACGACTTAAATTTATTTAATCTATATCATTTAATCATTTTTTAAAGCTTAAATCATGAAAAACTTCACAAATAAAAACATTGAATTAAAAAAGGATGTTTTATTTTGATATCAAAATAGCGAACCCATAAATAGTTATGGGATTATATACCTCCGAACCTCCAGGATGGCTGATTAGATTTTAATAGAACTTTTACAGATGCATAGAGATTTCAGAAATTTTCACCTTGGAAAAGGAAAGGATTTACCTTGGAGGAGGAAAATATTTGAGTGAAATTTAGCGGGACGAGTGTAGAGAAGGCCGAAGCGAACCGAAGGTGAGTCTATAGTCACAAATAAAATACGTACCTATGTACAAAAACAAATCAAAATTAATCTGTGGTGGTTTAAATTGAGTCATGTTTGGAATTCCAAATCTAATTACATGTTAATAGAGGCAACACGTTTTTGTTTCATTAGTTAATTATTATCAACCTATCTCCTTGCCCCACTTCACTTGTCCCTGTAAATAAATAAACAAAATCGAAAACATATAACTATCATCTATTGTGCCCTTTGAACAGTTATATACTCACGATTTATATGTATTTATACTTCATCATACAATTATTATGTTTTTGTTTTAAGAACGTATATTTAAACAAGGTCAGGAAAATATTAAATTGAGATTTTGGCTGTTATCTAAGCTCTCTATATTCTGTTAATATAAAACAAAATATCTATCACGATAGATAAAATGAGATCGATAATAATAGGCTTACATCAATAAAAATATTGAGCAGAAGAAAACAAATTCAATTATTTTTTTTTTCATAAACAAAACTTACATCCGGTCTCCAGATTCCAGAACACAAAGAAGATTCTACATTTTCAAACTTTAAAGGTACCTAGAGTAATTATTATAAAATTAAGTTATTTGGATAATTAATACTTACCGTTTCTTTACATAAAATGAAGATCAAAAATAAAACAAAAGAAACTACTTAATTTTCTAAAAATCCTTGGCAGAACTAAATCATGCCATAAAAGAAAATCATTACGTAATAGTAAAAAGATAAAGAATAATTATATAATAATAGTAATGTAATTCATTTTAATAATTGATATAGTTTGTCTATTCATATTTAGTATATTTATAGTAACTAAAGCTAAATACATAGAAAAAAACACAATGTAGCCCTGTATTATTTATATTGATTGCAACGTCATGTTCTGAAAGCACTTGGCCTTGATTGTACATATTTACATAGGTACGTACATAAAACGCTTACGTAACCGCACAATATATAGAAAGATAGCTAAAACCTAATCATTCGTGCGAGTTGTTAACTTATTAAAGTTTGTTAAAACATTCCCAAGCGATTATTAAATAACCTAATTTAGATTAAAATCAAATAACCTCCCAATGTATGTGTAATGTGCATAGTGGTGTAAACCGTGTTAAATTTTATGGGAAAGTACTGCAAAATGTGTTTAAAACAAAGAATTAAACGAGTGGATCGAAATTAATATGTTTAGGGCCAAAGAACGGATGTTATATAGCTACGTAGGTAAAACCTTCCGCCGTCAGCAGCGCCCCTCGTGGCGGCGATATGAAACGCGCTTCATGTACACTCGGCGAAATAGGTTCGCGTCGTGCAATGTTGTTATTCATTCATTTATTTTACTCCTTACAAAAATATATTAATTTCAATATTATTCATAAAAAAAGTTTATGTGTAATTATTATTTCTTTTTTTTTGCTGGATAAAAATATCACTATTTATTACAAATTTATTGTTTAATATTTGTTATTTAACTTAGGCAATATTTAATCATAAAATTTTAATTATTAATCTAAAATATAGAAATTTTATTGCTTTTTTATTAAAAAAAGGACTAGTTTTATTAAAATAAACATATTTTATGTATTTAATTCACGTTTATTTGCGGGATTTATTAAAAGACATCATATTCAATTTAATCTTTATTACATCATTTTACACTTTTTCTATTTTATTAATCTAAAATCCATGAGAATAGGCCCATTCTTTTAAAGCGTTTACAAAATCACCTTTAACTTCAATAAATTTTCCCAATTCATGGACCCTAGTTTCAACATAGCGATTGCTAACTTTAGCTACATGATCTTTTATTAAGTCATTCATTAGCCAAATATCGCCCTCTATTTTTTTAATCTTAGATATTTTTCTATTACCCCTATGAGTTAAACATAAATATATTGGAATTTCATGGTTCTTTGTTCTTGGTATAAAGTATGGCAAATTTTTTGCTTCTTCCTTTGGTGGAACCCATCCGGATGGGTATGATTCTTTTGGAGTAACTTCTGGAATGGTGTCGAACGGTAATAGTCGCTCCACATATTTCCATTCAGGAGGATTTTTTACTACTTCAAAATCATATTGTTCTTCTATTTTATGTACAAAAGGTGAGCGTGTATAAGTTGAATATTTTTGTTGGATAGGTACCTGAAACAATAAATAAGTAAAAATTATAAGATGAAAATGTATCTCTCTAAATTATCCTTTTTATCTTTAAACATTATTCAGTTAAGAAGATTAATTGAAAAAAAAAATCAAAAACGATAAAAAACATAAAAATTTTATCTGAAAAATAATACATAAAAATATTATTTTTGTGAGAGAAAGCTGTGTGGAGGGGTGTACACCCATAGTTCTGTCACATGTCGCGGTCAAAGCGACATTTCGCCGCGACGGGAGTAAATATAATAGAATAATTACCGATATTAACTGCGGTGCAAGTGTAGATCCCAAATCTGCAGAATTGTTCAGGATCCGCCCGGTTTTTCCGACAAAAAAACGTGCAAACGCGCACTGTGAACGCCACACGGTCGCCATTTTGAATAGCGAATAGAGCGATCGCTCGCTACACGAGCAATAAGAACTATATTATTCGTTTCGAAGGAAACATTATGGCGGACGCCTGCAGACATTTGGGCTTTTCGAAAATCGTTTTCTAAGTTTAATCGCGTGTTTTTATTGAACTTTTTCGCATATTATGGTGCGTCCAGTGTATATTTGACTGTTTATTGTGGTTTTTGCCAGTTCCGTGGGATAAATTGTGAGTATTCAGTGAGTACATAGCGGAGGTGCGCCACGGGTAGGGAAATGATTTGGTGCTTTCTGTCTCTCGGTCGACGCACACGCAACGCACAGCTGTAGGTGGCGTTGCGATCATGCAATGTACCATCAAAACATGAGATTTTCATGACTTTTCCGGCTGGATTTTCTGTGCAACGGCCGCCTTAAACGTAAATATTATCACGTATTATGCATGTCTACGCGCCCGACTGAGCGTTTAGAGTTTTATTTATTTACATTCCGTAGCGAAAATAGGTGAAATATGTACGCGAACTTGTTGATTGTCGTGCATCGCTTTTGTTTACCACGACTTTTAAACTTAATTTTTGACCGAATTACATACAAATAAGTGATAATAGTTATTTATTTGCATTAAGTGAACCCTTTTAGTCTCTAAACAATGGATAATTATGAAGATATTTCAAATTATAGAAAGATATATTGTTTTGATAGAACATAGTGTTATTATGATAATTTAATATTAATTATATTTATTTTATGTATTAAAATAAATTATTGTTATATTTCAGGAGCAGAGGGCACATCACAAAGTGTAAATAATGGCTCAATATCAGTGAATATCAAGAATTTTAGACATTAAAGAGTTCAGCAACTCTACACCAATCATAGATAAGTTCATTTGCCTAGAGAATAGCCTGAGAATATATTATATTGACAGATCTTAGAAGAAATTATCACAAGGACCAGCTTCAGGTCTTGTTCAATTATAAACAATCCCGGATTGACTAATCAAGGAAAGCTGAGAAACAGCAACCTGATGTCGGAAGAACAGATTTATCCCTTACCACACATTCCATCATGAAAACTAAACAGGTTAAAGAGGAGCCAGAAAAGAGCCCCGATGATGAAAGTATAGTGGAACCCAAGACTCGTGCCAGAAAAAAGGCCTCAGATCTCAACGAAGAGGACAAGACCAAGCTTTCCCAAGATGACCCCAAAACGTCCAAAGAGCCCAAGAAGAATGCACCCAAGCCTAAAACAGTAGTTAAGAAAAGACCTCTAGGTATTAAAAAAACAAAAATTTTGAGAGCCAAAAAAGTTGTAGGTGCAAAGAAAAAGGTTCTAAGACAAACAGTCACCCGAACCAGAAAAGCTAAAACAGAAGTTGACAATTCTCAAGAAAAGGATACCGTCCCACTTATACCTGCCACTGAAATAAAAAAGGAGCCTCTTGATGAATTGACTCCAAATTCCAGGTCTTCAAGTCCTAAAACAGCAGGCAGGAGAGTGAGACTTAGCTCTGATATGGTCATGATGAAGTCTGTCTTAGGCGATTCTTCAAGCAGCTTAGTCCTGGGCCCACGTACAAGCCCATACTCTATGCGCTCTGAAAGAAGCAATAGTCCATCACTCTTTGAAGGGAAGAACTTAAGGAGTGGGAAACCTAGAAAAGTTAAAAATAACCTCTTAAATGAAGTTGTTATGAAAGAGCAAAAGAAGAGACGGAGATTACTGTCTGACCCTAAACCAGCTGATACTCCTGATACTTCTGAAGAGAATAAGAAGTTAAAGAGGGGCAGGTCTCGTTCAAGGGATGGCAGTGAGATATCCAAATGCTCAGATATAACTGAATCAGATGTAAGCCTTAGCGAAACACTCAATGAAAGTGAGCTCAGCAAAAACTTAGAAAAAACTAAGACTGAACTAGATATAGATTTTGAAAATAGTGTACAGATCTCTCCTATTGGAAAAGTGCCTTCTCTTAGTGTTGAATCAAAGTTAACAGAAACAAAAGCAGATTCAGAGCCTAGTTCTATTTTAAAAGAAAAAGATAAGAAAAAATTGAGCTTAAAAAGGAGTACTTCTTTGGACTCCGACAACAATAACAGTAATAGGATTAAGTTAGAAAACATTAATGTATCAGACCTAGAAGACAAATATTTGTTGAAGACTGAAACTGAAGCGCTTTTTCAAGAACGTAGTAATATATTGAATAGTATGTCTAAAACATTTAACTCAAAGGAGGTATCTAAGAATATAAGAAAAGCTAGAAGGGGGAAGAAAGCAGCAACAACATCAAGACCTATTACTAACCAATCCAAGAATGGTATCAGTAGTACAATAACAAATGAGTTAGCTGAAGACAAAATTGAAACTGTTGATACATTATCAAAGGAAATTAGTGATCTCATCAATGACCTGGACCAGAATATAGATCGAGACCAAGAAATAGTAAATGAAACAAATAACACAAGTACTGATCAACTACAAACGAAATCAGCACGTCAGTTCTACGGACTCTCAAAGCCACTAGGGGATAATAACAGCATTATTACACCTGAAACACCAGTTAAAGACAAGGACGCGATTTCTGAAATCAACAATGAATGCACACCATCAAAGAACGATGACAGTGAGAATATTCGCCTTCATTATTCAGACGAAAAGTGCACTGAAAATAGACAAGAAATCGCCTATAAGCCTACAAGTACAGTAGCAAGCATAGATAAACTAATGGACAGACTGAAAGAGTTCGAAGAATTCGACAAAAAAAGGCAAAGACAAGAATCTGAGTCTAAATCAAATGACAGCAAATCTGTGATGGTATCAAATGATGTTGTCCTAATACCTAAATCTGGAGCAGACATTAAGCCTTTAAAGGTATTACAACCAGTTCGATCACCAGAGAAATTGATAGAGAAAGAGAATGTATTGAGTTGCTTTGAAAACAACTCTGCTATTTCAATAGTCAAGAGAGATCAAGTCCGAAGATCGCTAGATGTAGATCTTCCAAATTCAGTGACATTAATAAAAAGAAACAGCGTTAGTGCGAGAAAGGAGTCGACCAGTTCAACTCATTCAAGAGAATCAGATGCTATTAGCATATTTGAGAAATCACTGGGCAAAGACGTGACGTTGACTGAAATAAGGAAATCTGTAGAGAAGGCGGCACCTGCACAACATATAGACCTACACCAGTTCGCAACTTTACATCCAAACAATTCGAGCCAAGCTTTAGTCAGCGTTTTAGATTCGAGTCAAATATCGATAACGCCACGAACAATAGAATCGAAACTAAATAGTGAAGTACAAATCACTAAAAGGAAGTTCAGCTTGTCGTTGTCAAGAAAATCTTCTGAATCTGGTATAGAGGTTGAAGAAAAAATGGCGACTATAGAAAAAATTAAATCACCCCCACCTCAAATAAAATCACCTATTTCGATAACTCCTACTCCGGTAGCAGTGAAGTCTCCAGAAGCTACGCAACACATAGAAGCTGAAGCTCTCGCTCCACCGTTAGAGAGTGTAAAGGCCATTCCTGAAGACATATCTTTGACCTCTGAGGTCCCAAAACTAGATAGCGTTGTAGATGATTCTGCGAAAACAGAAACCGTCGTTGATACCAAATCTGAGGTTATATCAGATGAAAAGGAAAGCATAGAGGTAGTACCTGAAAAGGAACCAGAGCAGAAAACTGAGAAGGAAGAACCAGAACCTGTTGAAACCAAGACAGAAGAGAGTAAAGAGGAACCAATAGTAACCAAACCTGAAGAACCAAAAGCTAATAAGAGTTCCAAGGTAAAATCGGCACGAAATTCCACTGAAAACCTGCCGGGACCAAGTAATGTTTTGCATGAAACACCAGAAAGTCAAAAACGTAAAGAAAACGTTCTCAGAACGCTAGGCTTATTAACACATAAGGCAGCAAATGAGGCTAAAATAGAGAAATTGAAGGAAAAAGAACGTATTTATGGTAATTATTACAATGTGATGGGGAAAGGTAAAGCCGGAAAATCTGACTATACGGGCACTTTGAAAACTGTGATCAAATTGAACCGAGGAGTAGGAGAAAGGGATAAGAAGAAGTATAGGAGCTCTCTGAAGATGACATTCCAGAAGAGTAAAGGGAGATCTGGAAGACCACAGCTGGAAATTGGTGATACAGGTGCAGAAGATGAGTTCTACACTATTGGGGGACGAGAGGTGAGTTTTATTTATTTATATTTGTTGTTATTAGCTTAGCTATTTTTTTTAGTAGCTTAGATACAGAATCCTTAAAAATTTATTAAAAAAACTTATACTATAATATTATATTAATTAATTATACCTATAGGACCTGTTTGTGATTATGAAAATAAAAGCTCAATTGAGCTTTTATATCAAACTATTCAACTGTAGAGAAATCCTTAATTTTCAATGTTTTAAACAATATTTTAATTCCTGAAAATATTTACCAGCTGAAAAAGAGCTTTTAGATTTCCTTAATACTATCTCTTTCAACTTTTAAGTTGAAGCACTAAACTTTTTCAACATATTAAGTTAAGTGACTGAAATTATGACTTAACTATCTGAATACATTATGCATGTAAGTCCCTTAAAGCATTTTATTGTTTTATTATTAAGGGCTGATTTTTCAGTCACCATTTTTGTGAAAAATCAACACTAGTATAAATAAAATAGTATAAAATCTTTTGAAAAATAGATAAAAATTTTTGCTTAACTAAAGCAAATTATACTTTTTTTTTACTTAAGGTATTCTATTTTAGTGTATTATACATTATTCTATATCTTTTGATTATTGTTTATGATGTTTTTTTTAAGAACATGTTATTATATCTTTAGAGCAAATTTTAAATAAAATTTAACTCTACAGGTGGAATAGCTTCTTTTAAGATTATTTAAAGTTGGTATAAGTTTTAGAGGTAATTAAAATAATTTCAAACATCAATTGTTCTATTGCAGGGTGGTGCACAGGCAGCATCAGAGGGTGGGCACAGAAAGTCACATTACAGTAATCGCCTTAACAACCATGGTGTGTGGATCTTGCTCACCCCATGCTTTAGCCATCGACAAAACTTAGTTACATTTTGCATTATTTTTTTTAGTTTTAAAAAACTAAAAAAATTAATAATAAAAAATGTCTTTGATCAATTCATTAAAATTAATCAATTGAGCTAAAACTTAAAGGCTTTAAGCCATTGAAAGGTTTCACTAACCAAGGGTTGACTTCATTATGAGGTCAGCTGGATGGTACCATTTTTTTTTATTGACATCCGGTTTTCAAATATAAAAATTCAAATATATGTATGCAACAGTTAGAAATACTTCAAAATCCATTTTCAAGAATTAAATTACGGACTTAAAATAAAGTTTATAAAAGCTTGTATAAAGAAAATCATAGTAAATCTCTTTTTTAGTACACTTATATATTATGGCTAGTATAAAAAATTTATCAAGCTAAAATCAAACTTGTTCAAACAAGTTATGTATAAATTCAAATATCTGATTATAGGCCATTAGGCTGAGTGCAGATGGAAAGATGAAATAATAAAAAGTCTACTATTTTGGTGAATTCATTACTTTTCTATGTTTATATATCATTTGATTTGAATGAACATTTTAATTGCATTAGATTATTTTTGTTATATTTCAAATCAAAGTTTGTTCAAAATCGGTTAAGCGATTGCAAAATTTCTAACTATTATTTCACATAAATAAGCTCGATATATACCTACTTGTAATATTCAATTTGAATTTCTAAGCTAAGTTTTGTCGATGGTTGCTATATCAAATTCTGTTTAGCATTATTATTTTTTTATTTTTATTAGTTCAATATTTTAAAATATTAAATAATTTCATAATACTTTTTTAGATTTACGCGAATAATTGATATTTTAAATAAAACTATCTTTTCGGATTTTTCGCGGATTTATTTTAATTTTTGGTTCCCGACGTTGCGAATTCTTTACAGCAATCATGGTCACGGGAGAGGCTAAGGTTTTAAACAGCCTACCGACAAAATTACAAAATGAATTCAAAAATACAAAAATGACACCTAAGTACCTTACATATTTGTTAATTCTAAACATTTTTAAAATCCGAAAATATAGTTTTATTTTTAATAATTTCATTTATATATTTAATTTTTGAACAGAATTTGATATACAGTACAGACTTATTAACAATAAATAATCTTTGAAAATATTAACTGAAAGACGATTTACTTATTAATACAAGGTCAAGGGAATAATAAACTAAAATCAACATCGCAAATAATTAAAAAATACATGAATTAATTTTAACAATTTATTTCCATTTTATATAAATCATTAATTAACATAGCTATTATTGACGGTCAAAGGTAGAAGTTTTGGGCATAGCCGACATCCGCAATTTTTTTTTATAAACTTTAAGAGAAAGGGCAAAGCAATATGGTGCCCTAAAATTCACGATTCCAAAATATTTGAAGGTTAAAGCATGAACCTATATGAAAACGTAACAATCATTCAAAATTAACTAATTATGTTCGTTAGTTTGTATATAAATAATTTTTCCTGTAGTTTGAGAACTGGTTTTGGATAGTACGATAATTTTTACCTCTAAATATCTCCGAAACGTATCACATCAGGGCACTATATTGCTTCTTTTTTTTTGTTTGTTTAAATTATAATATTTTAGTTTCAAATGATAAGTCTGCTTTAAAAAAATAAAATGGTGTCAGGTAGCTGATGTCAACTTCCATAGAAAAATTGTTTGACCCGTTTACGTGTGAATGGGTCACTTATCGAATTCACTAGTTATTTTTTTTTACAAAGTTTAAAAGTAATATTGTAGTCAATAATGTAGTTAAATTTTCTTACTTTTAAATTTAGCCAGGTTATACTCGTAATTTAATTGACAACATTTTGTCTGATGATAAATGATTACGAAATGTCTTTGACCTTAAAGAAATTTCTTAACATTATTTAGATAAGGTATATATAGATAGATTACAAAGCAAAAATGTCTATAATTGCATATTTAAAAAAACGCCGAAAGTCAAGCGGAACGAGTTGCTAGTTAAAAATAAATACTTATCCATACCTAAATATAAAAAAAAATACTATACAAAATTTTGTAATAAATTTATTAACTTTATAATACTGAATATTTGCATAACTAATATTATGGTTCATTGTTAGGTATATATAAGTGCATGTCTGTCCGTTTACCATTGGTCATGGCTGTCACTTTAAAACAAAGATAATTTTAATATTTTAACTATTAAAAGTAAACTAATAACTATTTTAAATAATAAACTTATTTATATCTGATTTATTTATAAATATCTTATCAATAAATTAATATTTTTAAAAGAATACACGCATCTCTTATATCAAATGAAAATAAAATAGAGTTGTTCAAATGACACATTATCTACAATTTTCACAATTGAAATAACTTTTTTAGCTGATTAATCGAATCTGAACTTTGATTTTGATATTCTAATTTGTAAAGCACACTTTACAAGTTATATGTATGTCTTGCAAAAATTAGAAATAAATGGCGATCCTCTAATATAGTAACAGAAAATTTACTCCCAAAATCTTTCGATTTTGATATATGTACCAGATATAATTAACAATAATAATTTGATTATTTCTGTTTCTAAAGGTTAAACAATCGAATGATTGCTTATTAAGCTTGGCCGTAATTAACACACCCTGTATAGCTTCATCATCTTCTCTAGATGGGGAAGTACCTCCAGAGCCTGAACCAAAGGAGACCCTTAACTTGGTGATCCCGGAGAAGGCATCTTCCTTCAGCATCCATCCTGGAAGGCTGTGTATGGACCAGTGCTTCTATTGTGGGGGCAAGTTTGGACTTTTCGACACTCCCTGTCACATCGCTCAGATGAAGAGTAGTGAGCGACAGAAGAAAGTTTTGGATAGTAAGTATTTTTTGTTAGTATATCCACATATCTAGTTGTGCAAGGTCAGCGGATTGGATTTTCTGTACAGTTTATTGAAATATTATGAAACGCAAAAGTGAAGCGTGAAGATCGATTTGCAATAGTATATATATGACATAAATAACTTTAAATAATTAAAAAGTTCGTAGCTTACCTTTTTTTTTAATCAACTCATGAATCAATATGAAAAATAAAACATGTTATAATAATCAAATGAACTTATGGCCTTTATGGTATTATATGTATATAAAACAAAATATATTATTTAATATTGTCTTGAATTTACAGTATATAAATAAGTTAAAGGCTTTAATGTTTTTATTATAATATATTGTATTGCGTTATATTTATGCCTACATACTTATGGCCTGATCCCCTGTATATTGATAGGAGGCCCGTGCCCAATAGTGGGTCGTTAAAAAGAGCCGAATACAAAAGCCCATACACTGTCCTCATCTCTCTCTGAAACTCCCTCTCTCCGCCAGACGAAGAGAAGCTAACAATAGACAGCTGTCTGTGCGACGCGTGCTACCGGCACGTGGACCGGCGCGCCAACTGCCCCTCGTACCGCAAGCGGCCGCCGCCCGCCCCCAAGGCGCTGGACGCCCCACAGCCGCCCTCACCGCCCACGGACAATGCGTAAGATTGTTATTATATATATTAAATACACATACAAACAAACACACACTTTTACGCTCACAAACATAGTAAACATAATATGTATGTATATTATGTACATACATACATACATCCACACACACAAAAGCGGGCGCTCATTATTATAAATCTTTTTTTTCGGCAGTTTGTCCATTATATACACGATATCTTCGATATTTGTGAGATGATTTATTAAATATTACGAATAAAAATATAGGTGTAGTCGACTGATTCAATTAATATTATTATTCGGATGTAGTTTCACAAACATACAAGCATGATTTCTTCTAATTGCACTGATAATAGACAGACACTCTTTAGATTTATAGATTTACATATTAACATGGATATTAGTATTTGTTTATTGAACATTGTTCAAGTCTGAATTTGTATTAGGTACAAATTTTATATGTATGTATGTACGTACCTATTCGCAATATATAAAACATATCGAGAAAAATGAGAATATTTAAAACTAGCATTGCCCGCGGCTCCGCCCGCGTTCAGATGACCAAAAACCAAATTCTTAGGTTTTTACATTTTGTATTTTTTCTCATTAATGAGACATTTTCCCGCAGTAAACAGTATCCTATATGTTGAACCGGATAACCAGCTATCACCATACCAAATTTCATCAAAATCCCTCCAGTGGTTTTTCTGTGATGCGGTAACAGACAGTCAGACAGACAAAAATTCTAAAAACTAAAGATTCGGCCTCTGTATCGATAATAATGTTTATTTCAATAAGATTTTCCAAAAAATATTTAAATTACAGATTCGGCTTAGTTACAATTTTATTATATGTATAGATGTCAAGTATTCGCGTAAATCTAATAAAGTATTATACTAATATATTATGTATCTGTCTTTACGTCCGAGTAAAACTAAGGTCGCTAGCCGATTATGAAACAAAGCTTCCCATATAATCATATTACTTGTGCCAATCGGGACACCTTCTGCGAATATCAGATATATTGTTTAGATTCGTCTAAAAGCGGGATTATTGCTTTTAATTGCATTACGACTTCGCGTTATACATGCGACAGATAGACGTAATTATATGAGTATGAAAGAGACGGCAATGGTGTATTCATTATTCATAGCAACGGGTAGATCCTTATTTCATCCTCTAGCGCAGGAGTTCCCAATCAAGGGGGCGTAGAGAGAGTTTATTTTGTATAACTTAAAATTAGAATAAATAAATGGGGGCATAAAGATATTTTTTATAATCCGGGGAGGCTCAACAGAAGAAAGCTTGGGGAACCCTGCTCTAATGGATCTAAATGGAATTTATTGAAGCTTAAAATTAATGTATTGAGTCCTGATATCGTGTTTCCTCATCCGACTGCCCAAGTAGGAGGGTAGTGTTGTACAATTATGTTTTTGTACAGTCGGTTTTTCTATGTCTTTACATACATTGCTTGTTGAATATCTTTAAAACAGTTTAAACTAAATTCATATATTTTTTATTCATATGTTTTTTAATTGATAATATTAAAACGCACGAACGCATACATACAAGCGCACATACAATAATACAAGTTCTCCTAGTGCGAACTTCTATGCGCTCTTTCTGGATGTTTTATACGTTTAAAATTAAACAATTATCGTACGGGGTATATTTTTGTAGTCTGATCACTTTCTATTATAATCAGATTATTATAATCGGGCATGAAATTGGAGTAAGAAAAAATAAAAGGAAATTTGTCATAAAAGGGCGAGGTCATTATTAAAATGTGGGCTTTCCAGGTCGTGGGGGGGACGAGGTGTCCCGACAAACCCCTGTCTCCCCCGACGGAGTAATTTCATATATTTTACTAGCGACTCACTCTCGCTCTTTTCGGGTTCGTCCCTAGTTACGTTTTTTTTAACATAGATTTCACAGAGATGAGATATTTTCTCGCAGTAAAAGTATCCTATGTGTTGACCCGGATAACCAGCTATCATTATACCAAATTTCATCTGTCAAAAACATGCACACATACACATATACATACTAACGCACACTTTCACATTTATAACAGTAGCGTGATGTCCAGGTGCCCCGACAAGCCCCTGTCGCCGCCGGCGGAGGAGGAGAGCGAGGAGGAGCGCGCGCGCTCGCGGCCCGCCAGCTGCCACACGGCGGGCTGCGCGGCGCCCGCCGACCACGCCATACGCCGCAAGTGGCTCATCAAGATGAGGGCCGGGGTTAACAAGTTGGTGAGTTGGGGTTGTTGAAGAGTGGGATTGGGTAGGGAGGGGTGTGGTGTTATTTAGTGTACTTAAATAACGGTAAGGGGCTTGGTGCCTCGTTGTAACTGTTAGCTTTTGTGGCTAGCAGATCTGATTATCCTGGGATTCAACTTCGGGTTGGGTCAATTATAATTATTAGGTTTTAGTAAAGGAATTATTAATCTTGATGAATCTTTTAAGATTTTTTTGGATTATTTATTATTAAATTTAGAATATATATATTTTTAAATATAAGCCACGTAAAACTGATGTTTCTCGATAATCTTAAGCCTCAAAATATATGTAACTCTTCCATATTAAGAGATAAGATTCTATTGTTTCACATGTTAAAATTGTCGGTACAACTGCCCCGTATTTCCTTAACTGAGCCTATATTGTCGGTACATCTATCCCCTATGTCCTCACCTGAGCCTAGATGGTCAGTATAAATGTCCCGTATGTCCTCAGCTGAGCCTGAAGTCGGACTACCCGGGGCTGCACACGATCCCGCTGTGCGCGGCGCACTACCGCGCGCTGGCGCCGCTCATGGCGTGCGTGCTGTGCCGCCGTCGCCTCACCAAGCACCACAACCTGCACTTCATACACAATGTGAGTATCGACCCTCCTCACCACTCGACATGTTCATACATACTTCATACACGATATCAGTTATACCAACATTATCACTCGCCTTGTTCATTCATATCCACCACAACTTGAATTTTATACATAATGTGAGCTGTGCATACATACATACATACTTCGTACTATTGTGAGTTACACCTTACACAAACATGGTTAGATGATATCATTCATCAAATGACATACTTTTTAGTAGTTGTCAAATTTGTTAAAAGCAAACTCAAAGATCAGAAATAAATTTATTCAAATTTAGAAAGACCAACATCTGTACTTGTCAGCTAATATATATAATACTAAAAAATAAAAACAGAAACAAATCTAACCCCCCGTGGATTGTACATTTTTCCAGGATAAAAAGTAACCTAAGTGCTATTCCAGACTCTAATTTGTGTCTGTGCCAAATTTCATACAGATCCGTTTAGCCTTTCTGGCGTGTTTGAGTAACAGACATTCATGCAAACTTTTGCATTTATAATATTTTTGGGATTACCACGAGCCTTGATGGGTACACGAGATTTGTTCACAATTTCATGAGGCTTAAGTTTTTTGCGTGGAACCCCAATTCTTTTTCCAACAATTTTAAATTAAACAAAAATTACTCCTTCTATCAGCTATCTGCTAGTGAAAGTCCTGTCAAAATCGGTCCAGCAGCTATTTCGGAGATTAACCGGAGTAAACAGACACACAAACATTTTAAAAATTGTATTTTTTTTCTTATAAATATCATATATGTATTTAGTAAACAAGCTGTTATTTTGGCGTTATAAACGGACACTTCAATTTTATTTATTTGTATGTATAGATTAATAATAATATATGTTTGTATAAAATCTATTTTTAACTAATATAACAATTCCATTTTTCCAGGATTACACAGACTTCAACCCGCTGTTCAAGCAAGCGGGCATACCGGTGGAGTTCAACGAGCGACCAGTTCTCTGCAAAGTATGCAGATACTTCTGCACTCTGCTACAGCGGCCAGGACACAACGATAAGCATGCTGAGGCTTATACTCGCAAGTGTGTATAATTATCTTTTATTGTATTTATAACAGCAATTAAAAAGGTACTAGATACACAATCCCATGCATAATTTTTCTTAAAACTGTCACCAATTGTGTTTAGGTAATTATTCTAGTTGAAATAAACATACAATAATGTAAATTAAACCTTAAATGTTGTTTTTACAAAAAAAATTATAAGCGCGCTCAATAGTTGAAATGAGCGCTCATTCGGTTATCACATTTTTTGTCGCTGATTTTGTATCTAGTTCTTTTTTGGTCGATGATCTATAGTATATAATGAGTATATAAAGAGTTTTTGTTTGTTTGTTTGAACGCGCTAATCTCAGGAACTACTAATCTGATTTGAAAAATTCTTTTTGCATTAGATAGCCCGTTTATATGGACTAAGGCTATTATAGGTCATGTATCATCATGCTACTACCTAAGGGAGCAGAACAATAAATTTCAACAAATCGGCCAGACCTCCATACATTATTGTAAAACTCATGTTTTATCGATAGTTTTTTTAACGCGGGCGAAGCCGCGGCACTAGTAGTATTTAATAAAAGCGTGTTTGTACAATATTTTTATACTAATTCTACTTTTAGAAATCGTACCAATGGGATACTTATAAGTTGTAACAACTAATGTTGAGCACCGCATTTTTTTATATATTTTTTTATTTAGTAGTGATATTGTCATAGAGCATATCACTGAATAGGTAAAAAACCTAGAACACCTTTTCCCTACAAATTATGTTTTTTTTGTCATTGTTGTAATTTACGTTTGGTTATATTACATGGTGTAAATTTTATTTTCAGACTCCTTCAAATATACAAAGTGGAAATACCACCAGAGCTGAACCAAGGGACGGATGATTCGAAAGTTCTAGAAGACTGCAACACAAGTGCTAACAAGCAAAAGAAGAAAGCTCGCACTAAATCTAAACAGAGGAAATCTACTGAACCTGAAAAAGACAGTGAATCATCAGAAAGAACTACCGAAAGCTCACCAGAGAAGGAAAAGAAAGAGGAAGAAGTTAATACAGAAGAAATTAAGCAACACATAGAAGAAGATATCGAAAGTCTAATATCGTCGAATAAAATATTAGTACCGAATGCTAAGCCAAATGAGAGCAATCCCCAGAGTGATGCATCAGAGACGGATATGATGTGTGACTTAGAAACTCCGTTATTGCCTCTCGACAAACAAACAGAACTGCGATATCTACTGCAAAAACAAAACAATCCAGCCCAATTCCAAAAAACAAACTTAACACAAAAGCAAAGAAACATTCTCAAAGTTCACAACCTCGGTATAACAAAACCAGGACACCAGCAAAGGGTTAACGACAAAAATTCAAAAAGATTGCACAAGATAGGTCAAATATTATCACATAAGGAGAAACCTAAGAAGGACGAGTTTGAATTTGAAACAGAAAAGCCTAGAGAGATAATGATACTCAAAAATATACCGTTAAATGACGAATGTACAATAGAAACTATACCTAATAAGAAATCAGCGGATATAAATACTTTAAAGAATAAATGGCAACAGTCTGAGAGTTTCTCTCAAGTAAGGAAAAATCTGAGCGAGCTATCGAAGAAGCTTACAATTGAAAAGGATCCAAAGAAGTTATCTGATTTAAAATACTCGAACCCAGTCAAGAGATTAGAAACAAACCCATCTATATCTGTAAGAGAATTGTTCCCGGGTGAAGAAGAAATGAATTTGCAATGCAATATTGAGTTCAATAATGTTAAAGGAGTTACTCCCGAAGGATGGGAAAAGTGTAACACGACTATACAATATGATCTAGAAACTAAAAAGCTTTGGACTGAGCTACAAAGACCATACGGCAACCAATCAAGTTTTCTAAGGCATTTAATTTTACTAGAAAAGTATTTTAGAAGCGGAGACCTAATTTTGGCCCACAATGCATCTCCTCATGCGGCCAATTACAGTACATCAGTGCAAAGTAGATTACGTGCGTACGATAATGTGTTGCCTGAACAGCGTCGTGAGGCGGTCAGCTTGATAGAGTTTCGTAAAAAACCATCTATCAATGGGAAAAGTTTGCTCAAATCCAACCAAAATGAGGATAAGGATCCCAAAAAGTTCATGCCGCCCCCTGTACTTCCGAAGCCTAAAGCAAAACCGGAGAAAAAGACTAAAGCGTTACCACCAGAATTAATAGCAATAAATACTCCTAACGCCCAAGGAAGGAAAGCCATACAAAATGTACTACACAATATACAACAACTAGTGAAGGGTGTGTCTGCATCCGATCCGACAGAAGTGGCAGTTGCTCCTTTACCACCCAAGTTTGATTCGAAAGAGAAAAAAGATATGCCCGGCCTTAAATTTGAGCCGATGAAAGATAAAAAAGACAAGGAAAAGAAAGAGAAATCAGATACTCCGAAGAAGAAGAAGGGAAATAGTAAGGGATGGAGACCCAATCTCATGCCTATTACACCAGTAAGTTCATTTTTGTTTCCGAGTTTTCGAGTGCGATATTTTATTTCTTTTATTAAATAGGTTCGTTTTAATTTTTTTGAGCGGAACCCTAATTCTTTTTTTAAAGTATAAGTACCCAAGTTACTCCTTATAACATCATCTATGTGCCAGTGAAAGTCCCGTTAAAATCAGTCCAGCCGTTTCGGAGATTAGCCGGAACAAACAGGCACACAGACAAAAATTAAAAAAAATGTGTTTTTCTTATAAGTACATATATAATAAATAAGTACATATATAGCTGTCATTTCGACATTATAAACTAACAGACACCTTTAGTTTTATTTATCTGTATAGATTGTACTGTTGCTATCTAAATCAATTTTGATTTTATTTACAAAACATTTTCTGGAGTTTAATTTAAATTTGTTACCTTGATTTTTTATGTTTTATACTGTTATCCTAAATAATACTTGTGAAATTTGATTGTTTGTTTGTTTGCCTTTAATACATACAGCAGTAGACCATAAAATAACCTTTTACTCCAATAAATAACCATACTATTATTTAGCAAATGTATGTATATAAAAATATTACATAAAAAAACTTATTTAATTACAGGAAAACATCGCAAAAGTAGCACGAGAGCCGCTCAAGTTAGCTGTAGATGGACACTCCCTACCCAGCTTAGTCCAAGTACTCTCCGGAGGCACTCGCTATCACATCACCTTCGAAGACTACAACAAGATGTGTCTCATCAGACGTGAAAGACAACAACGGTTACAAGAAAACAAGGAAACAAAAAATCTAAACATATCCTTCCCAGAGGAAACAACCGTCATAACTGAAGTGCAAACATCCTCAATGCTGGGCAATGGTGGGACGGTGTTACAAAATATATCAACAGATGATAAAAAAGACTTATCTGATCTAAACATTGGGTCGAATGCAGCGACAATATTAAAAAATGTCGGCCTCAAAAACATTACAATAGCCCCAATACCATCTAAAACGGCAACTGTGACGTCACAAACCCCTTCAACTACCATCACTTCACCCCTGCTAGTGACGACCCCTATAAAAATACCACAGCTAGGGCCAGCAGTGTCGATAACGACAGAAACCATAACAAACATCCCCATAATGACTCCGAGTCCTTTAGTTTTACCGAAAATACCCAAATCGTTGACAGTGATACCACAAACCGTATCTAATCCAGTCGTCACAACGATGTCAAGTTCCAGCAGTGAACAACGGCCATAACGAAAAGCTTATTATGTGGTTGTATTACCACCAAAAAAGACGGTAAAATAGAGTATCGTGCAACAAATATGGCTGATAGCGTAATTGAAAGACTTTTACAGAGAGAGGGTTAAAGATTTGGCTGTAAAAAGCAATTACAAATAGAAGATGGAAATATTCTTTCAGAATGAAGAAGAATATCTAGATAGCATTGCCAAGAATATTTTGTAACTGATAAAAGTGTAGTCGCCAATTAAATGAAAGTGTAAGTGTTTGTGAGAAACAAGTGTTATAAAAGTGACTCGGTAATAAGTGATATGCCATCCGGCGAGCAATATGTAAGTGAGAGCACATGAAGCCTTATGTAAATATTAGTGTAGGTTCGGTTCTGAGCTGTGAATAATGGACAAATGTAAATGATTTGTGCAAATGATACGGTTCATTCGCTTTTATTTATTTATATATGCTTTACATTACATTTTTTTTTATTATTTCCCAAATTTATTTTCTCAAATATTCTTTTATTTTTTAGTGATACAACACTGCCTTTCGGTTTCTCATACAAAATTCTCTAGTCAGGTTAGAAAAATGCATTTATAATTTATTTATCACAAAAAAACCATCTATTCGTATCATTTGCACGAACTTTTTGATATCTTCAAAGTGATTACGGTTTTTTGGTTGTACATAAATTTGATTTTCCTTTTTCTCCCCACAATTTTTTTTTTAATTTATCCTCAAAATTGTAATCATTTGAAAGTAAGTTATGTATAGCATGTAATTATAGTTCGAAATATCATTGAAGCATATTTTTCCATGTAATATTAATGTGTCTTAGAAACTAATTCACTTAGTATTAGTGCACTAAAACTACCAAATAAATATATGGACAATACAAGAAAAACTGTTAACTGACTGTGAATAAATAAATCATGTATTTAAGCTATCGAGCGACTCTCGACGTGTCCCCGATCAAACACTGTATAGACCAATTTATTGTGCAAATTTATTAATAAATAAATATTTTTCCAAAAATTAAAAGTGTTAATGTGACGATCCGAAGACTAAACGTGATCAAGTGCCTCATGGACTTCGAAGGAACGTCTCGACTAACTTGCACTTTGTAAATAAGCACTAAGGAGAAATCTCGCCTTGCTATCGTATTCGACAGTCGCTATCGATTATCGACGGGAATACCCCAATTACCAACAACTCGACTAATCGTTTCCAACGATACTCGATTACGATTGTCGAAACGACCGCAACGTTATATATTTGGTAAAAGCTCATGGTTGATATGTAAGTGAAACGTATATATATTGTTGAAAATTACTTGTATTTTATTTTTGGTCAAATATCTTAGGATACGGTCCAATGTTAACGTTAGTACAGAAGTATGTTAAGGCGAAGCTTCTCGATGTGGCCTCTGATAAAAAACCTGTTGGGTTCTACACCAAAATATATTTTTAATAAAACCTACAATATGTTTATAATCATTTCAATGTTTTTTTTAATTGATAGCAACCACCCTTTCTATACCATTACGTAATTGAAACACCAAGTAAGCCTGTTTTTTTTTGATAATTCTAAAGAACCTAAACTAAGGACAGGGATTTGTATATAATAGAAATTAAATACTATTTTTATATCGACAATGTCAATCGATTACGCTTGAATCAAAACGAATGTTTGAACTTATTGTTCCAAAATAACCTGTAAATTGAAGAGTATTCTTGTACATAAAAATCTAGCTAGTTAGCACTATATTTGGTATACAAATAGTATGTCAACAGTTAAACGTAAGTTAAATAATATGAAGAAATAGATTTTATATTTCCATATATAATAATGTATTTAACGTACAGACAAATGTATGATTTTTAACGGAATTTATTTTTTTAGTTAGTCGTTTTGTTCTGTACATGTTTTGATATAATAATTATGTACGAACTTATCCCGTATCGTGAATACGAATGCGAATTAACATTGGTTTTAATTTAAAAGTTACTAATTCAAAACTGTGCCTCAATTTAATTTAAATTTAATCATAATTTACTATTTATTTATATTTATTATATGAAATAGAAACTGCAATCGTAATGCCGATACGGAATAAGTGCTCGACGAAGTGTTCGCCTTAATATGCATCAATTGTTATAATAATTTAGATTTTGGAAGTTTCAAGTTGAACAAACTCGAGCCTGATGTTAGTTTCTTCCAAAGATAGTGTGTTAGTTTACATATTGTTTTACAATTAATTCTTGTCGCGCCGCGACTTTGTCTAATAAACATATCCTATGTCCTGAATTTGGTTTTTTACTTTATATCTACACACCTTTTTTACAACAAATCAGCTTTTTAATTTAGCTTACTGTATATTATTATTCTATTTCGAGTTGTTTTTATTTAACTAATTCATATAAATTGTTGGTATATATGAGATATAGAAGCATGAAAATATTGACATAAAACTATGTGCAAGCTAACCACGAGGACTAATTACTCGTAACTCGTGCAATCCCATACACAACTACACAGTATACTGTATCAATACATATAATAAAATTGTAACTAAGTCGAATCTGTACATTAAATATTTTTTTGGAAAATCTTATTGAAATAAACATTATTATCGATACGGAGGCCGAATCTACAGTTTTTGAATTTTTGTCTGTCTGTTACCGCATCACGGATAAACCACTGGAGGGATTTTGATGAAATTTGGTATGATGGTAGCTGGTTCTCCGGGTCAACATATAGTATACTTTTTACTGCGGGAAAATATCTCATTTCTGAGAAAAAATAAAAAAACTGCAATGTTGCAAAAAACTGCAAAAACCTAAGTATTTGGTTTTTGGTCATCTGAACGCGGGCGGAGCCGCGGGCAATGCTAGTTACTCTATAAATTAACGAAAACTTTACAATCGTAAACTAAAAAATTCTATCATAATTACTTCTTGTGTGGTCTTTGGGGCACTCAATATATCTCTCCAGCTCCAGACCATACACTAGAAAACTTCTGACCTCATCGATAATACAATAATATGGTACCATAAAGGTCCCATACTGAAAAAAAACACAAAAGTTTTAGGAATTCTTAATTACACCAAAGTTTATTACTACTTTGTCTGAACAGACTTCAAAAAAGAATTATGCGATATATCGATTCTCAATCGAATGAAATGAATTAAATATTATCTTGATATTTTTTTAATTAAATAGCAGAATATAGGTTTTATGTTGTTTTAAATTTCTTTATAGCATTTTTTATGTTATTTCAAATTTCTTCATAATTAACGTATTTTATAAAATATTAATTTATTTCATGATGAAATAAAACTTCTATTTTTGTCTTAAAATATTATATTATTATTACTTTTGTACATGATCAAGTGCGAGCACAATTAGTATGTTTAGGTATAAACTGTAAAAATAATAAATATTATTTAAGGCTAAAATAAAAAACAAACATTTGTATACATTGTTAATTTTAAAAATATGTGCCTTTAATATATTTAACTAGCAAAACTCGCAGCTTCGATAGCGTTTAAAGTTGAAAAAAAGAAACTTCTTTTCCTTCGCATTACAATAATGTGTGGAAGTCTGCCCGATTGTTTGACATTTACGATTACTGCTCCGCTCCCTTGGGTAGTAGCATGATGATATATTCCTTCCTCAATAAACGGGTTATCTAATACAAAAAGAATTTTTCAAATTGGATTAGTAGTTGCTGAGATTAGCGCGTTCAAACAAACTCTGCCTCTTTATAATATTAGTATAGATTAACATTCATTTTTTTAAACTAAAGTGAAAATAGTTAATAAAATTTATGTATAACATTAAAAGTAGCTTTGTTTTAACTTTATTAAGATTTTATTGAAATATGAACGTACATACAACATACACTTGTCTATGATTGTTAAACCCAGCTTTTTGATGTATACGCATTATGGATGAATTTAAACCCTATTATTAAGTACGTAGTGATCAAAATCGAAACCGTACGCGAGCATGCAACTTGGATATACTCGTCCTGCTATTTTGTTCTTTGTACTGTTAGCAATAGAGTGTTAAATTAATTGTAATATGAGCGAACATATTCCTAAAATCTGTTTCTTAAGGCATAAAGTAGTCTTCTTAAAATAAAGTAGTGTATTTTTTTCTATGAAATATGTTTTCTCGACTTCTTTTTATGAAAAAATTATTAATATTATAATATTCTATAGATATTGCTTAAAATATTATTAATTCATGTCACTGCTCCTGTCTCTTGCTGTGTCTGGAGCCGCCCTTAGTTCGTTTCCACTTCATTCTTCTGTTTTGAAACCAGACTTTAACCTACAAAAATAAAAGTTAAATAAATAATCAGCATATAAAGCCAAATAAAAAGATGAGCGAGTTGGCGTAGGAATAGTATTATGCAGTCGGAGACATACATACACGTAGCAAGACTTGCAACAAGAATAAAACATACATATATGTATGTATGTCTCTTGCCAAGAGATATTTTTTACATTAACACACTGCACCATCCAGTTCCATGGTAAGCTACGAGGCTTGTGTCATTGATACCAGATAGTTGATACACTACACATATATAACTTTAAATACATACATATTATAAATGTAAACCACCATGTACCTACAAACATTCTGCTCATCACACAAATAAATGCCTTCAGCGGAACTCGAACCCGCGACCGCTGGCACAGATAATAGACAGTCAAAATATAATATTGTAAATACAAAGGCACCAAACCGGTAAGTCGTCAGTGTAGCAATATATAATATACTAGTATCGATAATAATGTTTATTTCAATAAGATTTTCCAAAAAATATTTAATGTACAGATTTGGCTTAGTTACAATTTTATTATATGTATAGATGTATAATGTATATGTAATAATGATATGTATACCTGTCTCTCTGTGAGATGTAAAGCCACAGCTATCTCATATCTCCTCAAGCGCGTGAGGTAGTTGGCGCGCTCAAACTCCGCCTCCAGGCTTCGTATCTGAGCTTTCGTGAAAGCTGTACGCTCCTTGCGGCTCGCTGAGGGAGAGCGCATCTCTGGTAAATAATGAAGCTAGTATTATATTATACTATATTTTTGTTTTACTATAACTAAATTAAAAACCCGACTACGTAAAGCGTAAGTAATATTTTATACTTGCTGCGAGCTTTGTTACGTGTACCTACATATGTATATACGTCTCCGTCTTCATAATACTGGTACTTTGTTCTTTCATCAACTTGTTTCTATCTTTTTACTTAGCTTTTTACGCAATAGGGTTTTTTGTATAGTTAGTATTTTTATTTACAGCTTTTTAGTTTTGTTGAAATTTGGAGTTTCATTTTATAATTTCTATTCTCAAACGACTTTGAAACTTATAAGTAGCATATATTTTAGTGATTGTCTCTATAAAGTAAAACCTTCATTTTAATAGTCCGCTCGATAAATTAGGATGAATACAATTGGACTTTGTTTTTGTATTTTGTTTCCTACAAATTGACAGACACCCGTCATTTTGGTTTTTAATTTTTATTTATATTCATAAAGCCTATGACACTCGCGTGTCTAGCAACCTATTAATCGTCAAAATTGGTTATGTCGTTTAGTAATTACGAGGGAACATTGACATACAGGCCAAACACATAATTTTCCTTTCGGAAATAGGTTTATGTATGGTAGATAATAATAGATATATTCTATTTGTAATTCTAATTAATCTTTACACCGCTTTGTATTTTGTCTGAAAAGCATAAAGGATAGAATTCTTATTGCAGCCTTTATTCAAGTTTTCCATATAATGTTCACTAAAACTAGTTTTTTAGCTAATTTTAAATAAAACTATCTTTCCGGATTTTTTCGCGGACTTATTTTAGAGAGCGGAGAGACTAAGGTTTTAGACGTCTCAAAGGTCGACCTTAGTCTCTCCCGTGACCATGTACCTACGCTGTAAAGCAACCAAAAACCAAAACGTACAAAACCAAAAATCTAAATATTCCCCGAAAAAATCCGAAAATGTAGTTTTATTTAAAATATTCCACGTTCTTTTCTTAGAAAAAAGTCACAAATGCCTTTAGATTAAAAATAATAGATACGAATTATAGCTATTATTTTTTATCTTGTTAGTTGTTACTACCGACTTACAGACAGACAATAGAATGAAAGAGTTTTATTAGCAAAGTAGGTAATGCACATCAGATGTCAGGCGCCGGCGCCACTTGTTTACTGCAGACCGATCTACAGGTGGGTTTTATTGATAGGATGTTTAGCTTTGATACCTTTATTAGAAGTTACACGACATATATACTAAATTATAGAACTGTCCAGCCTTTTGTCCTAGCTCTGTTCAGATTATTACTATAGTCAGATTATTACTGTATACTAACTGCCCCGGTGATGTACTGCGTATCATGAACATTGAACAGGTACACACCTAGAGGTCCTGGGTTCGATTCCCCGCTCGGCACAAGTTTTGTTATTGAGTCTTTCTGTTAAGTTGGGAAGTTGGCGGTGTTTCATCCTTGCGCTTCGGAGAGCACGTAAAGCTATCGGTTCTGTACCTGATCTCTCACCGGCCGACGGGGCCGAAATCCGTCGGGAGGATATCACGCCTATACTAAATTATTCGCGTCTCATACAATTTTATGTACATAGATAGACCTAAATTACTAGAATTTGCTGAATACAACTAATAAAGCATTTGGCTAATAAAAATATATCTAGTACTATTTATAAGTAACACTATGGTCTATGTACGAGCAGATACATAACTAATGTACGTTGAGCGTACCTCCTCTCTCTAACACTGTCGCAGAAGCGCCAAGCGAAATTATATAACGGTTTAACTTAATTGCATTAACAGACAAATGTTCTTATCTAAACATATCTAAGTATACAAATATTATAAAGAGGTAAAGTTTGTGAGTTTGCGACGTTGTAGGTGATAATCTCTGGATATACTTAACCTATTTAGATGAGATTTAGTAAGAAGATAGTTTGAGACCCTGGGAAGGACATAGGGTACTTTTTATCCTAGAAATCAGCCCTTAAGAGAGTGAAAGTGGGGATGAAAGTTTGTATTGGAAAGCAAGCTAGGGACGAACCCGAATAAAATTCTAACCGAGTCGAATCTGTACATTAAATATTTTTTGGAAAATGTTATTGAAATAGTCAGTATTATTGACACAGAGGCCGAATTTATAGTTTTTAGAATTTTTGTCTCTGACTGTCTGTCTGTTTGGGACCGCATCACAACAAAACCACTGAACAGAATTTGTTGAAATTTGATATGATGATAGCTGATTATCCGGGTCAACATATACTTTTACTGCGGGAAAATATATCATCTCTGAAAAATCTATACTAACTGTTATAATGTAAATAGGGACGAACCCGAGCGGAGCGAGGGTGAGTCGCTAGTCTTATAAGTTATAACATTTCCATGTGCGTATATTCTTAATTCTTTCCTTTCTAAACGGTTTAATTTGTGAAAGTACTTATGAGTTATGATACTGGATAGTTCTTAGCTATAGTTGACCCGGTCGGTGGTATTTTTAAAACGAGGTAGGTACATAATCGTTTTCCTGGTTCTGATTGGAACTGCACCCGATCCTTTAAACTGTATGGTCAGCATAGATCATTAGTTATTGAAATATTCTATAAGTACTTATTTAAACAAAGCTGTTTTAGTATCTTTAATATAAAATTTAGAGAAAGCTTTTGCTAATATCGTTCTAGTAAATTCTTAAGACACTTGATTGCCTATAAAGTAGGTGTATTTATAATTATTCTTAAATAATACTTTGTTAGATAATTTATGTAGTTCATATATTTTTAGTCAGGAGGTAATTTATGTTTATTTATAAGAAAAGGATCGGTCATGGACAGAAAATTTAAGACTTATTTAAAAAAAATTGACTTATATTAGTATTATGTCATATTATGTTCTATTAGACTCTACTAAAAGAATAATAATTACTTGAACTTATAATTTAACTAGAAAAACTAAATTAAACTATTATAACTAAAAGGTACACGTGTAGGTACCTCATAAAGGCCGACTAAATTACTCATATTGAAATTAAGAATTTTAAGCGTTAGAAAAGTTTTTATTTCGTGTGTACCTACTTAAGTAGGTACCTCTAAATTTAAGTAGGTACCTACTTAGCCTTTAAATTTTGTTCTTCACAAGAAAAATGTTAATGTATACTTATTTATGATTGATATTTATAAAATGTTTATGGTAATATTACAATAACTACCTATAATATAATGCTAGTTTTTATATGAAATATGAGATGTGATAACTAACCTTCCTCGCTAATACTAGTAGATCCCGCCGTCTCTGCTTCCGTTTCTTCCTTTACGAACACCTGCTCAGCATTCCAATCCCACTGCTCATGGTATGTCTCCAGGCCTTGAATCTGATCCTGGCTCTGATAATCAGCCCTGTCTTGTCTGTAGTCGTAGAACATTTGAAAATAATCGGCAAATTCTGCCTGATTGAAAGGTTCCTGGTAGACGATAGGTTCATAGTTTTGTATATCTTGCTTCTCTGCATCGTTTTGTACGAGAAAATTTGTGCAAATATACTCCATAATAAGTTTTAGCGTATAGATGGGTTTGTATATTTTGGGGTAGAAAAATTGTGTATTTTCTTTAATTAATGCATAGTTATTGCATATATATCTTAACAGAGATAGTTTTAAATTGAAATCATTAAATTCCAAAATTGCAAAATAATAAAACTAGGTTATGTAAAATATCACTTCATAAAATAGTTGAAAATATAAAAAAACGACGTTTAATATCACGCACGTCTCTCTGAAATCAGTTTCAGGCGGCGAATGCGCGCGCGCAGGCCGCAGGCGGGCGCGAGCTTTGGGCGGGATTGTTGAACATAGTGATTAGTTGTTTTATCACCGTCAGTTTGTCACACGCCACCTTAGGTTTTTTAATGTTTTGTTTTTTTTTTTAATGTACACATATACCTATATACCATTTGATAATTTCATTCAATAAAGTATGTACGTATGTATGTATGTCACCTTTATAAAATAAAAAGGATGTCCTTTCTTGCAACAATTATTGACAATAGTACATTTTTTTAAAGGAAATTTTCCTACTAAAATAGCTTTAGGTTAAAAAGTTAGCAGTTAGTCGGAAATGTGCCCCACTTGAGTACCTACGCGTTGTCGATTTTGACAAATTATCTATGCATATAATAAAATTGTAACTAAGCCTATCGAATCTGTACACTAAATATTTTTTTGGAAAATCTTATTGAAATAGACATTATTATTGATACAGAGGCCGAATCTATATTTTTTAGAATTTTTGTCTGTCTGTTACCGCATCACGGAAAAACCACTGGAGGGATTTTGATTAAATTTGGTATGGTGATAACTGCTTATCCGGGTCAACATATAGGATACTTTTTATTGCGGAGAAATATCTAAAACGTAGGCAGGGACGAACCCGAGCGGGGCGAGGGTGAGTCGCTAGTATTCATAATATAAGTTTTTAGTAAAATTTTCAAAAAGCTAAATATTCACGTTAAATACGGAAAATATGGCTTTCTTGTAAAAATTGAGAAACGAAAGTCCTTATTAAATAAAGATCTTTTGATCGTTTAAACTAGGAAATAGGAATGCATTCTATATATTTTATTTTAAAGCTCATTCATTGCTATCAATTAATTTTAGTATTACGATTTATTACTAATTAAGATTTAGGTGCGAGCGGACAGTTACATGTGTTCATCGACAAGGGTTGGCGAATCCCATGGGGTTTCTTGCGCTTGCCCCGGAGTTCCCACGTTGAGGCTATTTAATGGGGATTGGTGTTGAAGGAAGTATTGTCTTTAATTAAATACTCCATGCAGTTACTGAGTTATTTGAAGAAGTATTTTTTTAACCAAGGTACAGATAGGTATTATAAACTTATACCTACTTAGGTATATACATAACACTAAGAACCTATTAGTTTTAATATTTTAAGTAATATATTTTCTCACACTTAAATTTACACTGTCCAACGTATTCTATACCTTTTCTTCGTGCCTTTGTTTAACTTTAGTTACCTACTTTATCATTGAATAGTTTTTGACCGTAGCTCTTCTAGCATTGTACGCCAAACGAAACACAGGTACAAAGGTGTACAAACGGTTGAAGTCATTTACGAACAGTGCAGCTTCTAACTAGGTTTTTTTACATTAGAATTTCCACTACAATTACTTCTGACTTAACCTCGCTTCGATCGGATCATGGATGTATCTCTAGATGCCTAACAGTAGCCTATGTGATACTCCAAGTCATTGTCTATCTCATATCTGTATAATGTATATGTACTAAGTTTTATCCAAATCTGTCGAATCGTTACAGCGCGAAGGAATTACATAAATGTATATAGTGTGGTAGTAATGCGATTATAAATAAGATCACAATAATTTCTCAGTTCAACCTGTAGGTATTTATTACCTATACATATATAAATACTTATTTTCAAATATCGCCTTCATTTTATTAAACAAATAAAACATCAAGCTCTAATTAATTACCGTTTTAAGGTGAAAACGCTTAGATCGTTAGATCATGTGGCATTACTTACTTCAATTCACGTAGGTTTCTCCTATAGACCAATCATACATCCATAGCTTTCTTTCATTTCGATACCGCTAGAATCTGTCTTCCTCACAATATGAGACAATGACTGAATATTGAATTGTAGTAGGTAGGTACCTACTAGTATAGTATAATGTATTACTTACGAGTATATTATGATTTGTGATTGTAGTAAAGAGCAGTAGCACAGTGGAAACGCGCTCGCTTGGAAAACCGATTAAAGCAGATTCAAATCCTAGGTCTCGCATCTCTGGTGTATTACCAATTGTCTTACGTTATAGTAAAACATTGTGAGGAAACCTGCAAGTTTGAGAGAATCGAACTAGTTTTCGGAAGGCATGTGAAGTCCGCCCCGCACTTGGCCGGCGTGGACTAAGGTCTGATCCCTCTCGTATACAAGGGAAGTCCGTTTCCAGCAGTGGGACGTCAAAAAGGGCCGAATATAACAATAAGTAAAGAACAAAATCACATGCTTCAGTCTGCGAGACAAAATTCTATCTACATTTAGGTAAGAAAATGCCTGAGCCATAAGAGCTTGTGAAAGGATGACTCATTCACATAAATGCCTGCGTCATGCGTGGCGGTCTGTTTGTGAGATTTTCTATAGCTACTATTGTACAGGAAAGAGCAATGGGTCGTACAGCGCCGGCAAGATTGCCATTTATGGGTTATCGGAAGGACGCATCCTTTCCGAATGTAAACACTGTTTAATATAATATGTAAGTACATATCTACAATGTCTTCCTCTAAGTCATAATATGATGTGAGTAACTTGCTACACGTTCTTACGTAAACGTTTTGCAATGAATTAATATGATAATATATGTTGTATCTGATGATGGATCCGAGGGTCAATCGTGATGTACAAAATGCAACTTATGTCCACGTAATACGCTACTAGTTACTACCACGGAAGATAAAAAAGTTTTTTTTCTCTTCATTTCTTTGCCGCTTTATAAGTAAGGTAAACTGTTGATTTACGTTTGTTTAGATGCCACATCAATTCTAATTTTTTACAGTTCATCGTTTTATCCCAAGTATTTATAATTTATAAAATTTGACATACTAAAATGTTGTACCGAAGTAGGGTTTTATAAAACTTTGGAAGTGACGAAAGTGGCTGACTCAGCGACATATTAACGCTGAAATTAGATAAAATAATAAACAAATTTATGTGTTGTGTAAAAAATGATCATATATTGATCATCATGCGACCGCAGCTGCCCAAACACGGCACCCTCCGCCCTCGGCTCTCGAGCACCGGGAAGAGAAATTTATTGCAATGACGTGACATGAAGTAATGGACCGACGAGATGCATTTTATTAATTGAAAAATAATAAATTGAAAATACCGATTTAGATGAAATTTGATAAGAAGATAGTTTGAGACCCCGGGAAGGACATAGGATACTTTTTATTCCGAAAATCATCTCATAAGGGGGTGAAAATGAGGATGAAAGTTTGTATGGGGAACCAACCTAAGAGCGAAGCGAGGGTGAGTCGCTAGTATCTAATAAAATGAAACTTTCACCACCTCACTTCACTCAGGTTCGTCCCTAGGTATGTTTTAACGGTTAGTATGGAATAGATAGGCTATATATTAAATTACTGCTCCGCTCCATTACTTAGTAGCATGATGATATAATATAGCCTTCCTCAATAAACGGGCTATCTAATGCAAAAAGAATTTTTCAAATCGGATTAGTAGTTCCTGAGAGTAGTGCGTTTAAACAAACTCTACCTCTTTATAATATTAAGTAAGGATATGTGCCTAATTAAGCAGCGGTAGCCCAGTGGTAACAAGTTCACTTGGGAAACCGAGTGAAGCGGGTTCACATCCCGGGAGCAAATAAATTCCAATATGATTACTAGCGTCTCAGTCCCGTCTTGGTCAGGCAGTTTTTTGAGTTAACAAACAAATAATATTTATTTTACTAATCTAGGGGTTCATTTATGTAAAATATATGTAATTACAGTGACAACACGGTGTCGTGATTTGAGAATAGCTTCGGTTGATGCAATTTCATTGGAACATAAAAGTCAACCGACATCTATACATATAATAAAATTGTAACTAGGTAAGCCGAATATGTACATTAATTTTTTTTGTGGAAAATCTTATTGAAATAAACATTATTATCGATATAGAGGCCGAATCTATTATATTATATAGTTTTTAGATTTTTTGTCTGTCTGTCTGTCTTTACTGCATCACAGAAAAACCACTAGAGGGATTTTGATGAAATTTGGTATGGTGATAGCTGGTTATCCGGGTATATATAGGATACTTTTTACCGCAGAAAATATCTCATTTCTGAGAAAAAATACAAAAACTGCAATGTAAGAGTATAACTAATAAGTAATATGTAATACCTAAGAATTTGATTTTTGGTCATCTGAACGCGGGCGGAGCCGCGGGCAATGCAAGCATTTTATAATATTAAGAAACTTTATACCATTTGAATGAATCATATCCAAATGCTCTAATTGTAATAATAAAGCCAAAAAAATAGAGCGTCCAAAATATTTTCAGAGTCGTATATAATGAAGTGACCGACCGTAAATATGACACAACGCGAGTTTAAACCGCGTCTGTTTCTCTCATCAGGGCCGAAATGCTTAGGGTTGTTGGCAACTATACATCATTGTCGATTTTTTTTAAATATCTTACTATCTGTCTTTTCAAATAGAAGTTATATACTACTACAATTTGTTAAAAGGGCAAGGGCTGTCGTTACAGTGTTTTTCGATATCTTATACCAAAGTCTATGTATAGCTTGAGATGTGCTTGTGGTTTCCCTAATAATATATACTGGTACCTACTGCTTATTAGCCAGATAAACTACTTGACACGCTTTACTTAAAAATCAATATAAAAAGAATGTATATAACACAGTAGATAGAACTATAGAAATATGTTACAAGTACTACGAGATTTTCTACAAGAACCTATGTACTTACTATGTATTGTTGATATTAATAAAAGGCTGCATGGATATAAAATATTCTATATTTAAAAGACAATTAAAAATGGATATTTTTAAAGCAAATGTATGGCTAAAGGTATGGCTTATCTGGCCAAAAAAATTCTTGTAATGTTTAGATTAAATATATTTTTTACACTTTGTGTAAACCCTGTTAAAAATCTGCTTAAACTAGTTAAAATTAAATATGTTTTCTTTTAATTTTTATTTTCTTACAGGAAAAAAACCTCTTCGTTTCGTAGCAATTCTCTTATTTGATTTTTGATTTCTTCTCTCTAAGATTGTCTATCGATCTAAGAACGATTATTAAAATCAAGGATATCAAATAAAACTTCATATAGATTAATAATTATTTTTATTTCAGATCATATTAACTGAGATCAATATAATTAAAAAAGCTGCATTAACTTTATACTCGTACCTGCGCAAGAAGTCATTGACGTTCCATAATTAACCAAGAAACACACGAGTTCATCCGTGTTGAAAAACTCCAATAGAATCCCATCAAAAGCGACAAAAGCCACATAGAAACCAATAAATATGTATTGGTTTCAATGTGGCTTTTGTCGCTTTTGATGGGATCCTATTGGAGTATTTAAATAGGGATTATTACTCTTAAATTCACTTATATGATTTCTTGCGCAGTATAAAACCTACACTATATATTCCTTAAAATTATTATTATGAAGGCTTTGCAGTTATTAAGCCACAGAAAGCCATAAGTACACTTTTGGGCAAAATACTGACAAGGCGCGAAAACAATTCTTTTTTAATAACTATTTCTACTTTCGCCATATTTTTTTTCATCGATCCAAAAGACATCAACCTTCAACTGTTCAGCCTATATTTTACTTTACTAAAATACTATTTTTATTTAAATACTTTTCGCTCTTAAAATAATAATAATAATTTAATGACCAAGCACCTCTTTAAATGCATCCGTTAAAATATTCTAAATATGCTTATTATTATGCATTAAAATTGCACATAATTTTTATCGAAATCAAATAATATAGTAAATATTTTAAAACAAGCTATTAAGTAGTTGAAATTTCTTGCAGTTAAAATTAGTTTGTGATTAAATTCATAATAAAAATCAAAAAATCAACTATGTAAATAATCTTATAATCTAAGTATATAAAAAAGCAACAAATGCCTATCCAAAATAATTCATAAATGTTTAAAAATTAGACACACATCAAACAGTCAATTTTTTAATAATCCAAATTACAATAAATCTACTATATTGTTGTCGTTGGAATGATTAAGCTTAAAGTATCGACAAATGTTTCTAATTTCTCACAAAATTTGATTAGGTATAACGTATTATTCCAGAGTGTTTTTGTTATCTACGCTGTTTAAACTATGAAATAATATTCGCTATTTTTTAATCTACTGTTCGTTATGCAATTAACGTCATGACTGTAGCGATAATATCCTGACAAGGGTAGACGTGACGTATCTGAAGATAAGGTGTCTCCTCGAAGGTGTGGGCTACCGCGGCGGCTCCGGCGTCGGTCTACTGAGCTCGGACAGGGAGCTTGCGCGCTTCATGCTACGTAAAAAGTTTTATTATGTATTTGTTGACATAATAGTGCCAATATATTGAAAAGAAAGGCCAAAATACTTTTTATACATAAGCCCTTTCACACCAACCGATATATTAAATAGCTACATTCACAATTAAGATATTTGTGCTTGTAAATAAAAAAGATATAAAGCTACATTGCATAGCGCAAAACTATCTCAAGCTACTTTTATGCAGCATAAAAATGAGTGAATTGTTTCATAACGCTTATAGCATTTGGAGTAGGTACGAATATAAACTAAATATATCCCATAACATCCGCTAAGTGAATCTAATCTAGTACTAGATCTGAGGAACATCCCTAAATTTAGGTTACTAAAATAAGTCATTCAATACTAAGTGTAGTGTGTGTATGTGTAACTAAAACAAACCTCTCGGGGTCGGTGAAGTCTACATCAGGCGGGAGGTGTGCCGAGTGGCGGCCTGCGAGCCGATGGAAAAGTTTCACCGAAGAACGCCTCAAAGACTCGCGAAGTTTCGAGAAACTGGCGCTCCGCGACACCTCGGCCGGGCCCTGCCCCGTGTTATGCAATTTACACTCCAATTCGAAAATCATGAAATTTGGATATTTTTTCATTGTTTTTTTTTTTGTATATTTTTGTGTTTGAATGGCAAGTTTTATGTAAGAGTTAAGGCTGTATGACATAATGACAGTTGCTTAATTAGATGACGTTTAACAAAATACACTTTTCGGGCGGGAAATTAAGTCAAGTTGACAAAAAATATCTTTTAAATTTTTGAACGATGGTATGATATCGATTACTATCTCATGTAAATGTACAAATATAAAAATGATAGAAAATTAAATGAATGAGATGCTACATGCATCTACGAGTCTAACAGCGAAAGCCGTCAAATAAAACCCTCACTCAACGTTTTGTATACGTTTTCATGCGTTACGTCAGTGCATTGTGTTCAGAGTCAATGTTATAAAGAAGTGTATTATGTTCTTGTGGACTATAAATTGCATAACACTGTAGACTCACCTTTTACAATCTCACAGAACTCGAAAAAGTAATATAAAATAAAACAAAAACAAATGATACATAAATATTTATTAACAATTAAAAATTATCATTCGACATCGCGGTTAGACAAGTATCAAATTTTAAAAATATTTCTCGAAAGTGTCTATTGCAATGGAGATTCTTAATAAAACTGATATTATTAAAAAAAAAAACAATAAAAATGACGATAATTTGTGTCTTTTGTATAATTAAAATGTAGTGTAAAATTAATATTCACATTCCCAAGCAGCACCCTCGTACGGATAAAAATAAAATGAAAATTATAAAAAAATACTATTATATTTTATCACCTACTCACAATAAAGCTTAAGACCGAAACGTACGCTACACTGGAATGAGTTTAAGCATAACATTTTAAAAATAAAACTACATATTGGTACATGAACATATAAAATACGCATGAATATTACCAGAATAAAAAATAACATCATGCATCCGACAGATAATAAATAATTATAAAAAAAAATATTATCAGCATATTAAAATAAAAAATATATTGTAAGCGAATAAAATAACGTCGTTGTATCATGCAGTATGAATAACTAATACGCCACAGAGTAATAAATGCAGATACTTCAGATACTTTATTTGAATAGTTTTGCATACAACTAAATGCTTTAGCTATATCACATCACTCATAGACACGGGCTATTACGAATTATTTCAAATAAATATTTTAATTATCTCAATAAGCGATTAAATATCGATTAAATTCTCTCATTTCTTCATTCATAACTTATCATGATTAATACAATGTATACATAGGACAAATCTAACTTGTCTGTAAGTAATTACTTATTAGTATCTCAAACAAAAGATTAAAAACAAATTTTTAAATAATCGATTAAAAATCGATTAATTCTGTAAGATTATTCGTAATATCCCACATCTGGCGTATTCTCTTTCCCATTGGAAAACATCGCATAACGATGTTACTATATTTAAACTGAATTAGTTCTTTTGTTCTCGCACCATTTATTTTATATATATTTATAATATCTCTTCGGGACGGCATACATGCTTCCATTATAAATTCCTATCACACATTCGTATTTAATATTTTTAATATATTTTTTGTATTTTTCTTAAACTTATCCATGCTAATAAATTAATCTAAGCTAGGAAGCCCGCCATTTTGAATTTCACAGGCGCATTGTGATACATGATTACAATAATTATAATATCAATATTAAAAATTGGCGAAAGAAATCTCGGATCGGGGGAAAAATATTAAAATAAAAATGACTACAAAATACAAATAGGCGGGCAAAATTTGAGTGTGAGACATGAACGGTCCTCGTTCAAGTGCGGGGGGAGTCCCGCTGCGAGGAGGGTTCACACAGAAGCGAGTGAGCTTATACATATGCCCTAGGCCCTAGAGCACGTGCCCTGGACGTGCCCCCGTGCCCTAGGGCTGCCTAGGGCTCCGGAGCGAGGCTACTGGTGCCCGGCGCTGCCTGTGTTGATACCTAGCGCATTGAACAGTTTGGATTTAAGGTTCATGCGGGGCTCACTCGCCTGATTCGCGCCCTATAATAGAACAAACAAAAAACAAACAAAAATAAAACAAATGTGCATAAAAAAAATAAGCGCGTGAACAATAATATCGATTTACGAAGAACACTATTGCAACTCTGTATAGTTTAAATTTGTTTAAATACATGACAAATTAATTTATATTTTTAAATTATCTGTGTATGGAGTTACAATGATGTTCTTTGCAAGTGTCGACATGTCTAAAGAAGCAAATTATACACATAATAATAATTAAAAAAATGATTGAAAATGTAAACGATAGTTGTATGTACAGATAGTGAAATAATCCCAAATTAGCGAGTAATTCGGTGTTTTTAGGATGTAAGTGAAAAAATTTAATGAAATACCTAGTCTTGAAGCTCCGAAGCGGACCCGCGATATACGATATTGCGATTGCAACGCTGCCACACACAGACACACACATTACATATAAAGCCAATATATTTATTATAAAACAACTATTTATAATATCACATCAAAAATCTATTTTGTACAAGCCTTGAGGCGAAATACCTGAAAACCTTAATGTACAATAAATCTAACTATTTACTTTAAAAATGCAAACCAATCATCAATATTTCAACGCTATTTACAATCCAACAAACTGCTATTTTAACGAGAATACTCTTAACTCTTTATACATTGAGTAAATTACAAAGTACTTGACCGACTTTAAAAAAGGATATGCTACTAAAGGGTATATATTTTTTTATTCGTAAATTATGAACCGATTTTCACGATTTTTTAAATAAATAGGTAGTAGCATATAATTGGGTAGTTGACACCATTAACCAATAATCTCAAGGAACAACTTCTACATAAAAAAAAACCTTTATATTATCTCTGATAACTTGGATAATTTTTAAGTACTTGTAAAATTAGCTTTTATTTGCTTTAAAATCAATAAATAGCAGCCAATCGAGTTGGCAGATCAGTGGCGTCACAAGTTGATATTGTCATACAAATCGATTGCAAAATCACCTTTCGACAACTCTTATAAAGTATGTCCATTGATTGGTGGCTTCAACTACCCAATTCATAAAAAAGGATCCACATCTAAGATTGGAAATTTCAAAGTTATTTTGAAGTCGGTGCAGCTTTATACTTCAATAGTAATCTAATGTATACAGTTTAAACAATATTCCCAGATATTAAATTTTCGGGTCGTACGCACCCTGTATAGTGTACACACAAAGCAGAGCGAGTGATCAAGCGCAAACAAGAAACGATGTACACCACACTTTAATTAGAGGTGATATTGGCGTGAGAAGATTCCCGACCGGCGAGTTATAGATTTTTTTAATCTATGGACATTATTTAGTCTATGTACAATGACCATAAATTAATTTTTATTGTAAGGTAGGTACTGTAAACGGCTCTCGTTAGTTCCGAAAATAGCCACCAGGGAATATAATCACCGCCAATAAAGGATAAGGGCAGTGTGTGGGAGGGATACGATAAAAAATATGATATGGACAGGATTGGATATTGTACAAAATCAAGGCGATCGAGATTTATTTATAATATAATAAGTAATATATTATAGATTATTTTAAATTAAAAGGTAAGAAATATAATTAGATTTTATATTTCAAAATATAAAAATTCCATTTTTTTTTATTAAATTTTTTTACAGAGTGTTATGACTCACGAGTCTCTCTAGTCTAAATCAGTCCGTAAAAAAAGAAAGTCCTAAGAACTGGAAAAAGAAATTTAATGGGATTAAAATATCTTTATATTATTTTTTTGCAAATAAAATTATTAAATTTAATATTTAATGGATACTTAAAATGCTCAATATTAGTATTCCGAAATCAAACAACCTTTTAAAAAAATTAAAACGACTTAAGACATATTTACAAAACAAAAATGACGTACGAAAAAATATACGAATTGGCAAAAGGATAGGACAAGCTGAGGGGATATGAACCCGGATGATCCCAAAATGTCTGCCCGGGATAGGAGATATGATTGATCCCACCATACATGTAACAAAACAAACAATCCCCAGGGATTCACCGTCTAACCTCATCATGTTCCCGCGCGTCCGAGTCGCGCGGCCGCGCGTTCCGAGCCCGCGACTGTTTTACGATGTCCAATGCCTAAAACCGCATATATATTCTATATCTCTATAATAATAAATCTTAATTATCTGTGTCTGTATATTTATTTACTAATGTCATTATAAATTATAGTGGACTAAATCCGACATGTTGTTTTTGCCCAACACAGATTACATTATTTTTGTAATTAAAAAAAAAAATATTTAATATATATACTTTTTAATAACTCGAACTGTCTTAAAAATAGTACTTTATTTCAATAAGGGTGCATATCATTGCATCTATTCATATTATTAGGTGTATATAAACACAGTATATATGTATGTATGTGTATTGTATGTAGTCATATTAGGTGACTTACATGAGGTGGGCCGTGCTAGGCAGCGTGCAAATTAATTTAAAAAAATTTCAAAAAATTCTTATAAATATAAATGCCCCTTTGCACAAATTATTATTCACACTTGACTCAAAGAACAAGTAAAATTATCAATTAATCAATTCTCTTGTTAACGGCTCCAATGTCACGTGGAATGGAGAAGACGAATTAAAATTAATCGAAACTACTAAAATAGAAAATCGATACACTGTTAAAAGCAATAAAGTGTATGATATTAATTAAAAATTATGTATGGAAATGTTCATCATACAATGAGAGCAACAGTAAATGTTTAACTTTAAATTAATCAAAGATAAACTTTTGTACATATTGAGCTCTGTTCTAAATAATCAGAGCCGTATAGCTCACTCCGTTTTTTGAAGTAAAACTTGTTTAGGCGTAACTGAGGGGCAAGTCTAATACATTGGAAAAATAAATGATGCAGAAGTGAGTGTTAGGTTTATTATTAATAATTAAAGAAAAAATATTATATTTTGATTTGTTTTAATTTAATTGCGTTATTTGCCACAGCCAAAGAAGTTTTACTTTAACCGCGCGTAAAAGTTACACGTTCTGTTTTTTTCTTCCTTTCTTAGTCTTTTTTTTTTCTTTTTTAGTCTTTTTGGATATTGATCCACCACTATAAATTGTTCAGCAATATAAACCAACCATAATAAGTGCAGACATAGAATATTAAAATCTATTACGAATATCTAATTTGAACCATTTCCCTGAAATAATCTTTAAATTTAAAAAAAAATAGGTTCAAGAAACCCATGCCCAAATTTAAATCCGTATAAATACAAATAGATATTATATATTGAGATCCGCCATAAGACAGAATAAGCAACACGTGAGCTTTCCTCCTTACTAAGAGGTCACCTCCCAATACCAAGGCATTCCCCCATTAAAAGCAGTTCTATGACTGCAAGAGCATCTCTACAGAACTCCCTAGCACTAGGAGCGGCCGCCGCCCTACGCCCTCACCTCCTTCCTGCTGCGAAGGGCGCAGTCCTCGAGCGTCTCCGCCGCCTCGTACTTGCCCTGGCGCCGGTACAGCGCGCCCAGGTTCTTGAGGGTCGTGGTCACTGTTGGGGAGTCCACCTGCAATTGTTATCGTACGTACACTACTTGTTATCGAAATCTATACATGTAATAAAATTCTGAGTCGAATCTGTACATTAACAGATTAACTGTTCGCAAAATAGACACAATAGTTAAACAATCGAAATGTTCATATATGACTCATGGGACAGGGAAACGATTAAATATTTTTCGGAAAATCTTATTGAAATAATCATTATTACCGATGCAGAGGCCGAATCGCAGTTTTTAGAATTTTAGTCTGTTTGTGACCGCATCACGAGAAAACCACTGGAAGGATTTTGATGAAATTTTGTGTGATGTTAGCTAGTTATCCGGGCACAGGCTACTCTTTAATGCGGGAAAATATATCATCTCTGAGAAATCTATACTAAATTAAATGTTAGAACGTAACTAAAGACGAACCCGAGCGGGGCGAGGGTGTGTCGCTAGTACTATTATAAATACAATAGTTTATATGTGTGTATGTTTTTGTTACTCCATCACGCTAAAACGGTTGGATTAATTTGATTGAAATTTTTTATACAGACCTATAACTTGGTATAAAACATAGGCTACTGTAATCACCTAGAGTCAGTCGAACAAAAGGAAGGTAAATCGTTAGTATATATAATAAAATTAAAATACTGTTCATTGGTAAAGACATCACTAAGGACAATCGCACCAATTTGACTAAATTTGGTTTTAAAGTGTTCGTAATAATTCGAAGAAGGTTTTTATGGAAAAAGCCTCCAGTGACCATATTCAACTCGCGACCGCAACTATCACACAAATGGACAGTTTCGATCGGTAAGTTTCTATATTTTAACGACGATATATGTAGATATAACAATATTATAAATAATAAATATATAACGTAAAACAGTGCTCCACTACGATGCACTAGACATGCAATATGAGAAAATGAAACATGCTACATGAAAAATTTGAAAATATTATTTCATTCATTTTATTTCATTTTCATTAAATGTTATTATTAAATATGTACATAACTAATATACAATGTAAACATGTACCTTTGCTTATTTCTTTACCCATTTACCCAAAAGCGTCTTTACATTTTATGAATCGCATAGTAACTGTGCGAGTTGAAAGAATGTAACATGTATGGAAAAAATATTATAAATTGATTTTCATCAATACAGTTAAGTATAAAATAAATAATCATGAAGAATAATGCTTGTGAAAGAGAACCTTACATGTTTTCTAAGGACGTGGTGGACTATTACCTAATATCTCTCATATCAAAGAAGTTCCATGATCAGCATTGGCACAATAAGGACCGATCAACGCTGTAGTGCCGATCACTGTCATTTCACGGTCCGATATCGGTCTTGTAAAGTATTTTTACAAAAGAATCGTTGCTGATTCGACAAGAACTTGACTCTTACTGATAGTGTGATTGCACTCATTGTTTTCTTTATAAAATACTTTACCGGACCGAAATCGGACCGAAACCTAACCGTGATCGGCACTATAGTGTAGATCAGTCCTGAAAGGGCTGAAAAGAGCTGAAAAAGACTATATTATTATATATATAACATTACAGCATACCTTAGCAGCTTTGTGCCACCCGCCATACTCTCCGTAGGGCGCGTTCTCCTTCTGTAAGTGTTTGTTCTCTTCTCTCTCTTCAGCCACTTGCCAGATCGGCTTGTTATCCCCTGTTTATATATAATTGTTATTTACTTAAACGAATATACAAATAAATATATATAAAACAAAAAATATAATATATAACTTTGGCGATTCATTTTAGTAATTTTTATTTATGTTCTTTGATAAACCGTCATCGTGGTGTGTATACTTTGTTTTAAAATCATAAGACATATTTAATTTCATATGTATTTGTATCAATAAAAGAAAAAAAAAACCTGATAAAGTTGATCTTGCTACAAAATATTACATAAAAAACAATAAGCGTATTCTATATAAATAACATTTAATCGCCAAAATTCTTAAAATGTGACACAAGTCGGGAAGGTGTGACACAAAGGACTTCCATTACATTATGAAGAAAAAATGATGACCCATACACCATAGATAAAAAAAACAGAATAAACATATAGAATAAAAATAAAATATAACTCTATGCCCCTTTCCTACCTGTGCCACACGTGAATAAATCCAAACTTGTGTCACTCACCTATGTATATACTGTCAAAGCACCCCACATCGACTTTAAGGTTACTAAAATACCGTAACGACCTTTCATTTCATATATATTTAATAAATTCAAAATCAATACAATAAATTCATATAATATAAATATATATAGAGAACAATTGGTATGAAAATTACAATTTCACTTCACAGATAATAAATAAATGCTTATAACATTTGAAAAACTAAGGCACTATTTATTTACTTTGGCAGCTTTATGCACAGCAATCAGGCAAGAGAGCTTAACTCATAAATATATTTATATATTTTTTTCACAACCATACTTTTTACCTTTATCATAAAGATAAAAGTGATTGCACTTAAAATTTACTCACTTGATGCTATGAAATGTTAGTTTCACAGTCAAGAATGTTCAAACTACATCTAGGATTACATTTAAAAACAAATACTAATAGTCTAAGATACCGATCTATGTGGTGGACCCCTCAATCTTATTCTAGACGAAATATATTTTCTAAAACACATTAACAAACACGACCCAAAGGTGATGTCACCAAAAATTTGCTCTAGGTTATTTTTAATTAAAAATCCTCTAGTCTGGACATGTTTTGGTATGATAACCCTATATCATTAAATTTGTTATAAATTTATCCACATTTTAATAGTTGGTTGATTCCGGAAAATTCGATCCGATACGAGCAATTAATTACCTCATTTTACCAGTTTATACTTGGATGTCAGGTAATGTGGAGTTACAAAAGGCCGCCAAACGCATGATGGCATTTTCTACAAGTCTTTTACTTTCGATAGATACTAAGTTGTCACAGGAAAAGAGTTCTACAAGAACTTGAAATAAAAACAATTAAATTTTTATTAATAAAAAATAGCCTGGAGCAAATTTTTGATGACAATCTCCTTGTGCCATGTTTTATTATTTAAAAAAATATATTTCACCTAGAAAAAGAGTGAGAGGTCCGCCACATAGATCGGGATCTTAAGACTATAAATAAATTCATAATATTTTCTAATAATTCAATGAATAACAATTATATACTATTATTAAGTTATTTTTTTCGGAACATTTATTATTGCACATATCAATTTTATTTACTTCGCTGCCATTACATTAAAGTACACGAAGTACATAAATCAACAATAAAGCCTAAACCAAACCTCTAATATAGCTGCAAACTTGACCCTAACATTTAAAATAGTCATATTAGAAAAATATAGTATTTAATTTTTTTTATATATAATTTAATTATTTATTAGCTACAATTTAATACAAACTAATAATAAGAAAAAAAAGAAATCACTACACTATGGAAAAAATTCGAGTATTACAAAATGCAAGAGAGATCTAAAAGAATAGGAATAGTATACTCAATTCAATTAAAACTAAAAAAAAGCAAGAAAAAAAGCGTATTAAATATTTTTATTTTCATGCAGTATGTGTGTGTTTTTTTTTATATTTTTTTTGTCTTCCTCACCACAACAAAGTTTAACAAACTTAGGTCAAATTTTGTATGAATCACACATACATATTACATACATACCACAAGGAAAATGTTGTTATATTAATATCATTAATAAATTGATTTTAAAATATTCAATTAAGTGGGATTTTGTGCTTTGGTCGTGTTAAAACTAGTCCTTCACCGAGAGGGGATAGATGAATGACAGAATACTCCAAAATCATTTGGTCAAATTGGAAGACAATTACAGTGTCACAATAAATATTATATAAAACAGAAATACAAAAAAAAAAGGATAATAAATAAACTCAAATTCAACTCAAAAGATTTCATACATAAAAAAATCCTAAGGATTCGGTCATAATGGTTAAAGATTTGTATATAATTATCACAATTAGGTAAAATTTTGGACCGTATTCCAACATTACGCGTTAAAGGCATTATGTCATTCATTTATACCAACAAATAATTTCCACTATGTCGATGCAAGAGCCTATAACATTATATACGGAATGTAGATATTGCACATCTTCCAGTTAGTCTGCACTCTAAAATACTGGATGTGTTATTTTTTTGGTTTTTTTAATGACGCTATATATTCTGAAATATAAAATCATAATGTTCAAGCGGGCAACAAAAATACTCATTTCTAATAAGATATATAAAAATAGATAAAAGACATCGTCGATAAAATGACTGAATTTAAAAACTTGTTGTTAAAAAAATATCCAATATTTTATACACTATATAAACTTTAAACAGAATAAATATTAGCATCAAAAACCAGTTCATATCTTTTATAATAGTGTAACTAATAAAAAGCCGCTTCATCGACGATATTATGTAAAATAATCAAATAAATTAAATAAAAAAAACAACTAATTTTCAGAATTAAAAAATAATGCCAGAATATCAATGCTACAGTAAATATTTATAACATATCAAATATATCATATTTATGTTTTCATCTACACAGATAAATAAAATTAAAGTGTATGTGTGTAATGTCAAAATAACAGCTTTTTACTGAATGCATATGGACGTATATACGGTACTTTAATATGAAAAACACAATTTTTAAAAATTTTGTCTATCAATTTGTCTGTTTGTTCCGGCTATCTCCGAAACGGCTGGACCGATTTTAACGGGACTGCCACTAGCAGATAGCTTATGTTATAAGGAGTAACCTAGGCCATTTATAATTTAGAAAAATAATCAGAATTCCGCGCAATAAAATTTAAACCCATGAAATTGTGAACAAAATACGCGTACCTAGGAACGTAACCGAGCAAATCGGGTAACCCGCTCGGTAAATCCGCTGAAAAATCCGCGGTAAAAAACCGCTAGTAATCTTTAAAGTACAAAGTATGAACAATTAAGTTACTATATATAGCTATATAATTTTACTTTTATTTAACACTATTTCCCACATACATTGGTTGACTGGAAGAGATTTCTTGTCCACCTTTGTTCACGTCACTTTGTAGCTAATTGTTTGTGTAATAAAGAATTTTATATCAATTTCGGTAACTTCTTATGAGCTTTAAGCTCTTTGTCATGAGTTTTAACCTTTAAGCCTAAAATTGTAATACATATAATGTTATGCCAGTTTAAAAATCTGTTATATAAACTACTAAATTATAAATTGCTAAGTTTATTCATCTTTTGCATATATGATATAACATATTCACGTGATATTAGTACATTACAAAGTTATTATAGCAAGCGGAGGTGGCCTATATGTTACACAATATACATATATAAATATTCATTATAGCATTGATATATTGTAAGTTTGTTTATAAATATCAAGACTCACCGTCGATGGTGCCGAATTCACGTTCGTGTGCTCTTGTCAGCACTTGTTTGTATAGAGTTTCCGCTTCCTTGTATTTGCCCTAAACATAATGTATATGTATAATATTAATAAAACATTATATATAACGGTTTACATATATCTAATTTTTACGATTGTTCGCAAACTCTTATACGTTTTAGTTTTTAAGTAAGTAAATTAGTAGACGCTAACAAAAACCTATAAATATTTACTTTAAAGATTTTTAAGAAAATATATTTAAAAATAGAAAATTAAGACCAACTAATTCACATATTTAATACTGCAATTTTAATATTCGTAGTATAGATTGTATGCTGAAGCATTTTTACTATTTCCTTTATATACAAACATGCACGTTTGGCTCAGTGTGTATTGACCCTATTTGTTGTGCCAGCGGTCGCGAATTCGAGTCCCGCTGGCTTTATTCATGTGTGTGATTATCATTAATATTCGTACTCCAACCATGGGCGTTTATATTTATAATGTGTATGCATTAAAAGTTACATGTGTAGTGTATCAACTATCTAGTATCCATAACACAAGCCTCGTAGCTACCATGGAACTAGATGGTGCTGTGTGTTAATGCCCTAACATATTTGTTATTTATTTATACTCAATGATTCTACGAGTATTACTAACCTTCCTTATGGATTGATCACATTGACCAAATAAAATATTAACAATAAGTTCGTAATTCAAGAGACTAGTTTATACTTAGTTAAATTTGATTTATAATTCTAAAGCCAAAATTTATGGTCAGTCTCTTTGTACTGTAACTTTAATTACCTAGCACGTATGTCTGTATATACATATTACACTATATATAAAACAAAATAATTACCTGTTTGAGGTAGCAGGAAGCTAGGTTGTTCTTGGTCTTGGCCACATTGGGGTCGTCGGGGCCGAGCTTGCTCTCGTATATCTCCAGCGCTCGCTGGTAGTACTGTTCCACCTCCTCGTATTTGTTCTGGAAACATATTCAGATATTTTAAATATATTATACAAAAAAAATTTTTTTTTTGGTATTTAAGCAAAGATGTTTTATTAAATAGTAAAACAATATCTTTTGATAATAAGAGATAATTTTAAATTAAACTATCTTTTCGGATTTTTAAGCAGATTTATTTGAATTTTTGGTTCACGGCGCGGTTACGAATGCTTTGCAGTTTACAGTAATCATGGTCACGGGAGAGACTAATGTTTTAGACGTCTCAAAGGTCTTTATATAGTTGTTACAGACAATACCTACCTATAAAATTACAAAATAATTTCAAGAATACAAAAAATACACCAAAGTACTTTAAAAAATTTGTTAATTTAAATTTTAAACATTTTCCATATTTTTAATAACTTTTATACTTGAATATGGAAATATTATTTATTTAATTTAAGCCGTTACTATTAATTGTGTAACTATACTACTGTTTGTATGTGTTCACTTGGTTCTTCTTCTTCGTTAGCCGTCTGTATGTATCAGTAGACTGTGGTACCGCACATAAGCGTGTGCGCGCGTGTAAGCGTGCTCGTGCGTGAGTACTTGTGCGTGCGTGCGTGCGTGTGTGTGTGTGTGTGTGTGTGTGTGTGTGTGTGTGCGCACCTGGTTCTGGCAGAGCAGCGCGAGGTTGTTGAGCTGCTTGGCGACGTCGGGGTGGTCGCGGCCGAGCACCGCCTCACGGATGCACAGCGCGCGCTTGCACAGCGGCTCCGCCTCGCGGTACTTGCCTGTGTCGGAACATCATCGGCTTATTTATGCCATTTAATATACGGCTATTATATAATAATTTCGTTAATATGACATATCACGTATAAAAAGGCACAATTCGATTTTAATTTCTTGATCTTGACGTACGCCGCGCAAATCAACAAAGTTATACGAAAGTAATATATCACGGAGTTACATCTAGTATTGACCACAACTTCATCACTTACGTAGTAGAAACATAATACCTACTGAGTAACATGTACCCTACGTGTTACTATCGGATATAACTCTAAAATTTCACTTTTCATTGTGAACAAATAACAATCACACTCACAAAATTTCGCATTTTTACAATTATTATTGATGAAAAAATAAAGCTAAGCCCTACGTTTAAATCCAACCCTGAATGAATGAATGAAGAAAGACAATAAAGAAGGGAATGTACGAATGAATGAATGAGTGAATGACGGTGCAAGTATGAAGTACCTCGCTTCCCGTAGAGCACGGCGAGGTTGTTGAGCGTGGCGGCCACGGCGGGGTGGTTCTCGCCCAACGTCTTCTCGCGGATGGAGAGCGCGTCGTTCAGGAGGTTGGCAGCCTCTTTGTATTTGTTTTGGTCTCTGTGTGGGGAAATGTAAATACATATATAATTATTCATTTTTATATAATACTAAATTCTTTTTAACATCCCATTGCTAGGCACGAGTCTTCTTCTAATTGAAAAAATGCGAGTGAGTTCAGACCATAGTCTCTTTATAATATTAGTTTATATGAGAAATGTTTAGCTGTTTTGTTTTGCATACTATTTAAATTAACAAGATTAATGTTGAAAAATAAACTTCATGTACAAACACAAAGAACCAATGAAGAATATTTATATTCTATGAGAATTTTAAGTAAAAAAAATAAAGTATCAAATATACAGCCAAATTTTTGATACACACAACATTAAATCAAAAGGAAATAAAATAACAATAAAATATTAGATTTACCTAGTAGTCTTTTATACCATAAAAAGAAAATTTATAAAAAAAAAAACAGGATTACCATGGTGCTAATCCTGACCCGACGAGTTCTCCACCACAAGGTCACACCTCACACCCTCACCTGTACACCAAAGCCAGTATGTTGAGCATGGTGGCAACGTCGGGGTGGTCGTGCCCGGAGGTCTTCTCCAGGTCCTCGAGCGCCTGCTTGCAGAGCGGCACGGCCACCTCGTAGCGGCCCTGCGACGCGTACTGGATGACGAGGTTGTGCAGCGTGCGCAGGCGCGCCGGGATCTCGTAGCCCACGTTCACTTGCTGCGCGAACTGCGACGGCGGGGTCGGGGACATGGCTGTCCTCGATAAATTCATTGTTCAATTACATGTATTTTTTAAAAATTGATTGTTACCATGGTAACCGTTGTTATTGTCTGACAAATGATATATCATATTATATTCTCAATTTATTTTGTGCATCTCGGAAACGAATGTGACGAGATCAAATTTTGTGTTTAAATATTTTGCTTTTTTGTCTTTATATTATAATATATAGGTCTATATTTATAATATATAGGTCGTATCTTTTACGAAAAAACGCAAGTTTTACATGTTTTCCGAAAAACGCCAAACGAAGTTCGGTCGCCCAGGTACTACTCGAATAAAATATGCTACTTTTATCACTAGGAAAGGCCACATCACGCTCGTATAAGGTACGCTTTTTTTATCGATAGATAATACAAGCGGCGTCGCGAGCGAAAATTTGCTATATGAAGCAATACCATGTTATCAAACAATATCCTTTATAATAAACTATAGCATCCACGTATTCATACGAGATGAATACACGATAACACTGGGTATTAAATATCAACGAATTGCGGATGTCGCAAGATGGTAGAGTATCGTTTACTTCCGGTTTCGCTTCTTTATATTCGTATACAAATTTAAATATAAATAAAAAAAGTATAAATAATACTTTGGCCAATGGAGAAGTTTCCTCATGTTGTTAATATCATGTTCAACGCAATGGAATTATAATATAGATCAAAACTTTAATCAATGATATTTTTTTTTGAAATCTATCAATAAATGACTGAGAAATTAATTTAAATGTCGTCCGTTCAGGTCGTGTGCCGTCACGACATTATTCTTACAAGCGCAACTTTAAAGATTCATAACTTTTTCATTTGTTGAAATATTTTAATAATTCTTAATCTATACATATAATAAAATCGTAACTAATCGTAACGAGAAAACCACTAGACAGATTTTAATGAAATTTGGTATGATGATAGCTGGTTATCCAGGTCAACATATAGGATACTTTTTACCGCGGGAAAATATCACATTTCTGAGAAAAAATACAAAAACTGCATTGTAAGAGTATACTAATATGTAAAACCTAAGAATTTGGTTTTTAGTCACCTGAACGCGGGCAGAGCCGCGGGTAATGCTAGTTAATAATATAATTAATAAAAAAATGGGAAAATTCTCCATTCTTCTTTTACAAAAAAATGTTGACAGTATTTTTAGTCATAATTGTTTTGCCGCCGTATCCGTTGGCAATGCCTATTATTTTCGATTCATGTAATATTCGTAGGCGATTTATTGATAACACCCAGTGACAAAGATGTTATTAAAGTCTGAATGAAACGATTATTTAAGATATGATAACATTTCTGTTAAGAAGATATAAACATATTATTTTGTGTAAAAACATGACAGAAAACTATTTAACAGAAAAAATACTCGCATTAGAAAAAAATACTCATTAATCTGACTTATTTTAGGACTGAAATTTTGGCAGTAATCCTATTTACATACGTAGATAACATACGTTTAAAATAGGATTTACTGAAATTCAACTACTAAGGAGGGAAAAGTTACTACAAGGTATAATAATGATGATAAAGAACATTAATACTTTTTAACTTAGAATAAGCTTTACAACACAATTAACCTTTCGGTGTTTTCAAAAACTTTTAAAAAATACGAAAGTAACAAAAATAAAAAAATAATAATACAAAACTTTGTTCTTACACTTATTATTCCTGTTGTCTTCGTGGTCGTCATCTGGAAAGAGATCGACCATCGGGTCGTCCCGCTTGTTATCGGCCTGGCCGCTGCGACTGGTTTCCGACTCTTCAGTTATATCACTGTCGTATTTACTGTTCGAACCAACAATAATTTCATATGTTATTAATTATAATTTTTATAACAAATAATTAAGACAAAAACGCGAAAAAAATCGAATAAATGTTTTTGAAGTAAAACTTCTTTATAGTAGGGGAGCCAAAGAGGGGATTTTCTGTAGTTACTCGAGCGCGGCAGATTAACATAAAAGAGGTTACCTTGCACTCTATTGAGTACTTTCACCATAATATAAGTCTTCTATATAAAGGGGCGCGTCAAGGGAAGCCGATTAAAATATTTAAAAAATGTTTTGATAAGGTAGAAATACTTGAAACCGTCAGATTAAGGTGTGGTAGGCTAGTCACATCCTGAAAAGTGTCCAATTTAATAATCTGCCGATTTGCACAAGCCTAGGAGGCAAAAATCATCATAAACTTTATATTTATTTTAGTATGTGGCATATGTTCCACATCTATGTAGGTTACGCGTAATAAAAAATTTTGCCCTCGTGAAATAATTATGTGATTTTCACAAAATGTTAGCGACCCAATTACTATGCCTACTCGAAGAATTTCAATCGTTGAACATTATAAAATCGATTCAGTCTACTGGAATTTATTGATTTGATCCTATGACTACAAAAATCCAGCTTTACCACAGTATTTTTTGCGTGTGATTTTTTTTACCGTTTTGAAAATACGAGTAGAACGGTAAGCGTATTTTTAATTAATTATAGCAAACTCTAGAAAACCCGTAAATTTTGAAATTAAATTAATTTTCCCAAAAAATACTTCTGAACGTTTGCTGTGGATTAATACAGATTTTTTTGTATTCTACATTGTCTTTACTCAATTAAAAAAAAAAATTCTGTACAACCATTCAGAACTTTTGCCATCAGAATGAAATCGAAATTACATTTATGTTATCGTAATAGTATCCGTTATCTGAACTTTGCCGATCTTCATCGTGATATCGGTAAAATAAATTGTTCTTAACTGGCATGTTTAAGTTCCACAAGGCACACGATTCGTTTAGAAAGAATAAAATTCTTATTAAAGGGTATTTTTCTAAATTCAACTACATAGTATCAATAGGTCTATTATCAAATAAAAGAGCTTGACATACAGACGATATCGAATTGATTAAAGGACATTTAAACATGATGAAAAAATAAGGCAAATATCATAAACAGAACTCAAAAGCTTACAAATACATACCGTATAGAGGCCATGAAGTCCAAATGTTTATTTTCTTCCTCCAACTGTGAGACCCTCTGTTCGGAGGCCTGGAGGCGCTGCTGTGCAGCCGCCAGCTCGTCCCTGAGCCACGCATTCTCCTGGCAGAGGCGACGCACTTGAGTCCTCAACTTTTGCTTCTCCGCCTCTACTGACTGTAAGTGAGAGGCTAGGGCCATCATCACCTGTAAACAGTCAATTTTACAATCTTATAAATATTGCAAATGCAAAAGTGTTCCTTGTTTTTTTTTCTAGAATATTAACGTTTTTTGGAGATATATAGTTCATGAGCTGAAGGGAACCAATGTCACCGTGAGATAATAGATGGTAGGTATAGTGCAAAAAAAACACTAGTGATCGTATGGTTTTGTTTTAACAAAAGAGGCCACCAAACAGCGCATTTTGCCCTAAATTTGAGAAAAGAGAATAACAGAAGTTGACTTAGTACGTAGTGTATTCTCTGTACGCGATAAAAATGAATAATCTCGTGCTATTACCATATTATTTTCACGTAATTTTAAAAATAGTAATAACATCGAATTCCAAATTTCATAAGAGATTTTCTTACATTTTTACATTTCTAAACAAACCCTACTATTTCATTTGAAAACTAGATACAAAACCCAGCATACACAGGTTTTTTAAATTACTCTTATCAAAAGTGGCTAGACCACCCTAATTTCCCATAAAACGCCCACAGCATTCAGACTCGCGTCCCCTAGTTGTGTGCACAGTTGTTAGTTCAACAACCCCTGGCACGTACGCCTTTGTACATCGTTGATTAAGGGTTGAGATATCATCTTGCTTAGCATGATAAGCCTGATCTGTCTTTCAGAGTACGAACAACGAACGTAAGTGAAGATTTTTGTTTTGAAGTTAATTTTAGTTAGTTAAATTAGTGGGAAAAACTAAAAACGTAATAATTACTTTTTAATAAAAAAAATTTCAGTATGATTTTTTTTTAAATATGTAAGTAAACACTATCAACTAGGTCTATATTACTTACAGCCCTAGTTGATAGTAAGTAATACTTATCGCTTACAGGGATTATAGGAAAAGTAGCAAACTAAAGACAAAGTTCTGCCCTTTTATACATAGTACAAACAAACACTCAATAAATATAAGTATTATTATTGAAACATCACTTTTTCACTACAGTAAAGTCGATCGATACACTCTTGTTAAACCGACTAGTTAGTTGAATGACCCCAAGCACATGTAAGGCTTTCGCGCTAATCGAGGGCCGCAATTGTTGATAATAATAGATTCGTACTGTGATTGTTTTGCATTACAAGGTAATAAAATAGGATATATCAAATGAAAGGTTATGCTGGCAGATTAATGTAAAAGATAGAATTTCCAAATAAATCCCCAAAAAAATCCGAAAAGATAGTTTTATTTAAAGTGGCAAATATTAGCGTAAATTTAAGAAAGTATTATAAAAAAGGATATAAAAATTGGTTTAATGGTTTTGAATAAAGTCACTTTGAATTCGAAAGCAAATGTCCAATATCTTTAACATAACCTAATTGATTAAACATATGACAAATGTGAATCCTATAGTAGGGGAGCCCAAGAGGGGATTTTCTGTAGTTACTCGAGCGCGGCAGATTAACATAAAAGAGGTTACCTTGCACTCTATTGAGTACTTTCACCATAATATAAGTCTTCTATATAAAGAGGCGCGTCTAGGGAAGCCGATTAAAATATTTAAAAAATGTTTTGATAAGGTAGAAATACTTGAAACCGTCAGATTAAGGTATGGTAGGCTAGTCACATCCTGAAAAGTGTCCAATTCAATAATCTGCCGATTTGCACAAGCCGAAGAGGCAAAAATCGACTATAAAGTTGATGATGATTTTTGCCTCTTAGGCTTTTGCAAATCGGCAGATTATTAAATTGGACACTTTTCAGGATGTGACTAGCCTACCACACCTTAATCTGACGGTTTCAAGTATTTCTACCTTATCAAAACATTTTTTAAATGTTTTAATCGGCTTCCCTAGACGCGCCCCTTTATATAGAAGACTTATATTGTGGTGAAAGTACTCAATAGAGTGCAAGGTAACCTCTTTTATGTTAATCTGCCGCGCTCGAGTAACTACAGAAAATCCCCTCTTGGGCTCCCCTACTACTAGAATAAGGGTGAAACAAACATTATAAGTAAACATGCCGGCGCGTTCGTCGCAGCATATGGACAGCCGCCAACAAATATGCAAATCACACTAATATTATAAATGCCAAAGTTTGTATGTGTCTGTATGTTTGTTACTCCTTTACGATGTAATAGTTGGACAGATTTAGGTAAAACTTTAATACACAGATAGACTAAGACTTAAGAGTAGCACATAAGCTATTGATATTTTTATGTTCTATTTAAATAAAAATCGATGTGTATATGTTCCCTATGGACTCCAAAACGACTGGAGCGACTTTCAGGCAATTTTCAACTGAGCCCAGCGGATGATCCTGTGAAGTTTGGTAGCGGTCGGATCAACAGAAAGATTTAAAGTCGTTTGAACGTGGTAAATGCGAGTTGTTTATATTTATAAAACATATAATAACAAAAACATATTTCGTTTTATTATAGAACAAAACAAATACTTTATGTATTCTAAAGTAATTCCCCCTAGCTCCACAGTTGTTAGTTTAACAACCCTTGTCAAGAACCGAACTATAAGCACGTCGATGCATACAGTGATTAAGGGTAGGTACTCTCTATTTTTCAGAGAGAGGGTGGAAACTGGGAATTCATATTTTGCTTGTTGTTGTTTTTTTAAAGCGCTTTCACTGCACCAATTCGGATCCGACCATCAGACCCTTCAGTAGAAGTAATATTACGGGTCCACTTTATACGCTTTTGTTTATATTTTTCAATATGCCGATTTCAGTATATTTGACATGGTTTAGAGATACAAAAGCATATAGAAGTGGATACGTTCTGCCATACACGTACAAACTAATAAGAGTCATTTGTGGATCAATTCATCATACTATTACATTTGTGAATAGCGGTCTTTAGTGTTCAAATATTTTTTGTCTACTACTTAGAAATATAAGTACCTATCTACTTAATTCTGGTATACGTTTTTTTGTAGGTACGTTAAGGGATATTTCTGCCAACTGTAAACTGTTTTTATCGTGCTTCTCTAAAAAAATTGATCATAATACTTTCTTAGATTTACGCAAATATTTGACATTTCAAATGAAACTATCTTTTCCGATTATTTCGCGGCTTTATTTTGATTTTTGGTTCCCATGATTGCTGTAAAGCTTTCGAATCGTCGGAAACAAAAATCAAAATAAATCCGCGAAATAATCCGATAGTTTTATATGAAATGTCAAATTAATCATATAAATCGATCGTTAATAGGTTAAAATAAAAATGTAATTTAAAAACAAATTAAATCGACTTCAAAAAAAAAAAACTTCAGGAACTAAAAAGAATAAAACACTTGAACGGGGGTTTTCTGTTACTATAGATACCAAATCAGATATTTTCGAAGTCAAATCTATTTCGATATTTATAAATAAATCACATTTACAAGTAATGTAATAATATTTTGACTATAATTAGAGTTCACAACTTGCCATATTTACCTATTAGATATTAATATTGTAAATCGAATTGATGGCCTCCTTTTTTGAAGTCGGTTAAAAAGTAACTATAATGAATATTATAGGCAATATTTGAGAGCCTTATAGTTTTTCTTCATCTACTCTTCATAATACTAGTACACAGCCCTTAAAGTGAAGATGTCTTAAGGGCGTCCTTAAAACCTTTGAAAGAATATAGGCCACGTCCCGCGACAGAACGAATTGAAAAGCTCCAGGAAATGGAGCACTGAACTAGTTTCCATTATAATGCTCATTCCACACTATCTATGTAGTCCGATAAAATATTTTTTACGATACGCATTTAAGCATCTACAATTGATGTTTATTTATAATTTATATAAACATCTTGTGTTATTTGTAACAATTTATGGAAAAAATTACAGTAATAATGTCTTACTGATCGATCTCACAAATTGCGCAAATGTTCGCGAACACAATAACGTGCTCTCCCGAGGCATGGGGGCATATATTCGTATGTAACACCATCTTCGATAAACAATACTACTGTTGATCGAAGAACACCATAATCATTCCAAGTGCGGACTGTAACTAAAAATCTCTTTACAGAAAACCCTAAATAATTATATGAAGACCTGTAGACTAGCAACCCTACATGCAATCTGCTAAGTGACCGGGAAAAAAAATAAGGATGCAGTAAAATAAATGTTATTATACCCAACCTTCTTCGACGCAGAAAATAAGCGCGATCGACGTGATTTTATGCTTAAGAGATAATTTATAGGCTCTTGAGTGGCTGAGGATTATTTTTCCATTAAATTGGACATTTCCGTGAGGGATGTTATAGTATGTTGCCGAATCAAACCAAACTGCGGGTTGCTAGGATAATATAACGTTTTTTATTAAGCCTTTACCTTCACACAAAAGGTAACTATGTAGTTTGGTTGTACCAATGTTCATAAAAGTAAACAAATGTAGGAAGTCGTTTTTACATTCTTAATGACTAGTAAACCTCCCTCCCTTGAATTTTAGCTCATTTATTTAATTTCGATAAGTAAGAAATACAATAATTCGAAATAAAACATATTATTTTAATTTTAAATTCCCGTGCATGAACGAATTGTGGCTAATTCGTTCATGTTCCCGTGTTCCGAATGCTTCACTACAAAATAGTTTCGGGAGATCTAAGAATTTTAAGGTTTCAACTTTCAACGTCATAGTAATTACAGACAGCATCTACCCACAAAAATTATAGACTTCCGAAAACGAAGTAGTTGAAAACCATTTACTTTAAAAGTGAAAAAATGAAATTCTTTTCTTTGGTAAGCGTATCACTTGCGAAATAACGTTTGAAAAATGTTTATAATAGTTCGAATAAGTTTTTTAAGGAATAAAATTTGAAAAAAAAATCCCGGGGAGAAACTAAAAATGCTTTTTTTAAAATAATTTTAGTATGACCTCAATCATATATTTTATTGAAATTGGAACAGGACTACGTCTATCGCTTTAGCCAGTTAAAAAATACAGTAGGTGATTTATTCAGATACTCGATCCGATAACCGCATTTAGTCACGTTTGTTTTTGTCGTATAAAGCATTTGTAATCGTATACGTTTATCGCTTGGACAATTTTATAACAATCATTTTGATTACATATCATTTTGAAAATTGCATTATACCACCACCAAACCTTTTAGACCACCTAAGCATCACTTACACTTTGCACGAGTGATGAGACCGTGCAGATCGTGAAACGCGTGATGAAGTCGAAAATTACTAAACCGATTGGAATAAAATTTTGTTGGATGTATGTTTATTATACCTATTAAATCTTTACTAATATACTTTTTTATTATAAAGCTCAAGAAATTGTTTTTTTTTTTGTTTTATCTTATAAATTAAAAAAAAAACAATTAAATTGAAAAGTATTTTTTGCATTTTACAGACAGTTCATTGAGACTTCTAACGACACGGTAACAGATCTACAAAAGTGGAGCAATTATATTATTTAGAAGCGAGGGGATCCGTGAGCAAAGCTAGTGTACAATAATGAACTTCCTATAATGATAATTAAAAAACAGTAAACAAATTGATTGCTTAATTAATAAATCGTTCATGATATTGATAATTTAAAAATTATTATATTTAAAGGAAATTATATACATCCTACTATAGTTGTAAATAAAAAATATTATATCCATACTAATATTATAAATGTGAAAGTGTGTTTGTTTGTTTGTCGGCTTGGCGGATTGGCGTGATTTTTTGTGTGGAGATAGGTGGAAGGCTGGAGAGTGACATAGGCTACTTTTTACCGCGGGAGATTATCTCTATCCCACGGTAAAACACGTTATAATACAATACAAAAAAATATTTATGATCAGAATTACTTGAAACTTGATATAAATGCTCGAGATGATGATGATGTTCAATAAAATTAATTAAACACGTGTTTTAATAATTTTCGAAATTCATCTCATAAGGGGGTAAAATAGCGGATAAAAGTTTATATGAAACCTACCATTTTAGAGTTTTTTTTTATAGTTTTAGCGCGAGCGGAGTCGCGGGTTCTACTAGTATAATAATAAAAACAAGAAAACAAAGCTGACGATGAATATAAATATAAATGTAGGGCAAATGTACGTTCATTTGAGACATAAAACCACCATAACAGTAACTGCTTTCACCTATTTTCCACAAAAAATTATAAAATATGGAAACGATCTCTTATAGATTTACTATAAAGTGATTGAACCCCTTAAAATCCTGTTACAATTTAATATATAAAGATTTACAGCATCAATAAAGTAGTGTTCATTATTTATAGAGAGGAATTTTAAGTGCATGCGTCGCAAGAGATGCCTAGGGTTGTCACTTGTTTAGGGTTTGTTTGTTTGTTTGTTTGTTTGTTTGTTGCTTTTACAATTGTGTTGTATGCAATATTCTACTCATAAAAATATAGAAATATGAGTGACCTATACTTAAATTTTATTAAATTTAGGCTTCGTTGATAGTTATTTTTCAAACACTATATCTTTTAAAAATGAATATAGTGAACTTTAGTACAGTATCTATTGTTTTATGTTATGTACATATATAAGTATTTAATAATATACGAATTGTCATTTTATTGACGTCTACTTTCATAAAGCTTTAATTGGAAATCTATAATTAACATTAAATTTGACAACCCTACATAGATGATCTTTATATAGCCATCGTCTGAAACGAATGAGCGGTGCATATTTTGCATACAGTTCCATAATTTATACTCATCTACATTTTATGTGCGCTTATTAGTGCTAATGTAGATAGCAGAGCTTGTCTATTTGCGGTACGATCAATGTTGTCGACGGCTGTTTGCATTTATAATGTGCTTACTGCATGCATGTGTTTATTCTCATTGACAGGCACATCTACGTTAAGTTTAACTAAGTATGGTTAAATTTGCATAGGCAGTCGAAAATAGGGGGTCAATCTAGTAATATTTTCTTGCTATCCTTTCAGAAGTAAACAATTTTATATCAAAACTAGCTATAGCGATGCTTGGATGCGTTCCTAGATGTATTTAATACTTGCATTATAATTTCCAACGTTTCTTACTCAAGTCTCGTTTCTTACTTAAGTCTTTAATTTGGTATAATCTTCTATTTTCATCCGTAGAGGATATGCTGCTTAAAACTTTGAATTTGACTAGGCGTCAGTTTTAATCGGAATAATGAGTTTATTTTCAATTTTAGTCGCAATTAAAATTACAGATAAATAATGGATTTTCATACAACTCCTTTCGCTTTCAACCCCTTCTTTACTAACTTAGGGTATAATTTACAAATATCCTTCCTTAGCGGATACCTACTACTTTCTGCTATATTTCAAAGTTCATTGAACATTTATACTCTCTGAGATTTCGAGATTAATCAGTAATTGGAATATTATTTCGCTTTCATAGTATATATAATATAAATAATATACAATTTGAAATAGAAATACAAGTCTTCAATTAAAAAAAGGCACTATAAAACAAAATATGCAACCAACCTGTGCCTCTCCCAAGCCGAGTTCAATCGCATCGATTCCTTTGCGAACCAATGCCACCTTCTCATGTTCATGTTCTGTGTTGGCGGCTAGGCCGGCCAGTAGCTGCGCGTGCTCCGCCCTGAGGGCCTCGAGCCCGGCGGCCACGGTGCGAGCGCCGGCCACCATCTCCTCCTGCGTCATCGCCGTCATCCTGCCTAGCGATTCGATCTTCTTTCTGTCAACAATGAGATAATAAGGTTAGAAATACGTTATGTTGTCTCTAATGTTTTACTTTAAATATTTTAATAATAATTTGCGGTTTTATTTTACTTTTAGTTCCTAACGCTTCGAACGTTTCACAGAATCTAAGATAATACTTTCTTAGATTTCTTAGATTTATTTAAAAAGAATCTAAGGTTTTTGACGTCTCATTTATAGCGAATACAAATGATATTTACCCACAAACTAATAATATACTTTTACAATCAATATTGGATATGGATGAATTAGCGTCAATTCAGTGTTGTCACTACGTGAGTACCTACCTACTTGATCGACATTACGAATCGCCGCGCGTCTGTTTGCTTTCTTAGTTTCTCGCAAATAATATAACGTAAACCTTTCGCATGAGCTGATATAAAGAATGGTATTTTTATATTATTTGAAATATGTAAGTACATATATCGTCCTGATAATTTCTACTCTAAAGATCAATTTGATGAGATACGTTTAGCGATTTTAATGGAGGGTTTATAGAGGGTTAGTACTTAGTAGGTATGTAAGAAACTCTTGACCTGATTCAAACCACATTTCAAACATAGGTGCCTAATTTTGTAATAGCTCATATTCTAAATTAGTCTGAAATTGAAGAACCTGAAGATGCCAAAGTCGCATTAATATTAAATATGTATCTAAAATACACTCATATTATGAACATTACATTTGTGAATTTCAGTGTCCTATATTATAATTTACTAATGAATCAATCTAGCTCTTCTAAACGACTAATTAAAAATTAAATAATACACACGCTTAGGAAGCCAACTAATACGTTATTTTAACTTAAATAAAGATTAGTTCACAGTCAGAAACAACAATAGGAATCAACAAACTATAAGATAAATCGCCAATACTTCAGCAAATCGAAGATAACTTGCGTTAGAAATATAATACCTATACTAGCCACTTACGCTCACTTAAGCTCACCATGGGTGCCTAACAACAGCCTATGTGCTATTGTAGATCATATTCTATCATTGTACTTAATTCCATACAAACATTCACAAATCGATATATACTTTACACACCACATTTATACTTTAACAAAAAATACCTGTGGTACTCGCTATATACTTAGTTAATCGGGGAATGATAAAAATATATGTCAACATCACATACACGAATAAAGTAAGTAAAACGTATCAGGCCTGGACTTGAAGAGGGCCTTGGATGAGAAAATGATACTTATCAGGTACACGTCTCACGGTACAATAACAACAGGATAACTGTATAGTGTTACTGAAGTTACGTCAAACGTCGCTAAATAGATACGATGAGGTCAACTTATATTTATTAAATTACTAGCTGTTATCGCGATTTCTTCTGTTTAGAGTGGATTCAAAAATGGAAAAAGGAGGTATATTTTTGTGCAACAGATATAAAATTATGGATGCTGGGAAATCTTAGAAATTCCATAAAAAAGATCTAAATCAAGATAGATTAATAAAAATTAAAAAGCATAGCAATATTCAGAAAGATAAACAAATCTAAAGAAAAACAAATCTTTAAATTTTTATGATCACTGACAGTATTATTTTTATGTATAACGGGTTATTTACCATGTTTAGTACTTACTTTTTGGGGTTTTTTTTGGAGTTATGTAGTTGTACTAACTACAAAACTCCAAAAAAGCCCAAAAAGTAAAAAGTTTTGAGTTCCCGATATTTCGATACTTTTACAAGCGCCAGGGTCACGACTACGTTTTACAGCCTAATAATAATTGAAATACATACATATACAAAGTTTGTTCAAGCAAATAAATTAAATATTCGCATTATTACAGTTTATTCTTTATGTAAATCATTTTATTAAAAATCGACCTATAATAACTTACTTACATGAATATTTCGAAAAATGCCTTTACAACTGATCCATTAAAATATTATATGCATAATTTTTTTCGTATTTTAATATAAACTACCAAAGACACTATAAGTACCTAAGTATATAAAAAATAATACTAAACTTTAAATATCAGTATTGAAAAAAAATATGTTTATGTACATATGTCAAACTATTAGATTTCATTGAAACATGTCGAGTGCGAAAGTTAAAATATGAGCAGTTTATTTTAACTGCTATTTTATAGATATTGACAGAAGCGCTCGTGTACGATTATATACATAATATACATAATAAACACATAAAGTAAAGTTAAATAACAATGAAAGATCGAGCAATACTAATTCATTGATTTTTTACGGTTAACTGTTCATTTCAACTTTAAAACCACTATATTTGACGTGAAATCACTTAAATTGAATTGATTGTGAGTTTTAATAGAGCTATAACTCTTAGAACCGTATCAACTTTGGAATGACGCCTGTCAAGCACTTTCATAGACATCTGAAAGGAATGTTTGAGATTCATTTGATATTTACAGATATCTGTCTGCTATACGTTTAAACATTTAACGGTACACAATTATTTTTAAACTAGTATTGCCCGCGGCTCCGCCCGCGTTTAGATGACCAAAAACCAAATTCTTAGGTTTTACATATTAGTATACTCTTACAATGCAGTTTTTGTATTTTTTCTCAGAAATGTGATATTTTCCCGCGGTAAAAAGTATCCTATAGTATGTTTACACGTATAACCAGCTATCATCATACCAAATTTCATCAAAATCCCTCCAGTAGTTTTTCTGTGATGCGGTAAGTGGTAACAGACAAACAGACAGACAGACAAAAATTCTAACAACTATAGATTCGGCCTCTGTATCAATAATAATGTCTATTTCAATAAGATTTTCCAAAAAATATTTAATGTACAGATTCGGCTTAGTTACAATTCTATTATATGTATAGATAAATAGAAAGTAAACGATAACACAAGTGTCTAAATATGACGGTCGAGAATGCCAGCAAAGGCGGTACGTCTGAGGCGTTCTTCTTCTTAAAAATACAAATTTTAATGTGTCTAATTACTTGTAACTTCCCTAGGTGCGTTTTAAGTAGATATGAATAGTTATTACGAGTATCTTAGGAGAAAAACTTTTGCTATTGCAGATTTTTCTATAGGCCTTATTAGACCTACAATTTTCTAGTGCATTGTTTTGATATACCTATCTCTTAAGATTTAACCAGCGTTAAACATGTAAATTTCTAAGAACGACTCAATAGAATCAGTTATTGTGTTTTCCCGTGGGAATGAAAGATTTTCCTGTAGTAAAAGGTATCCTAAATGTCGACCCGAGTAATAAGTTATCATTAAACAAAATTGAGTTAAAATCGGTTCAGTACTTTTTGCGTGAAACGCGGACATCGATTTCGCTAATTTACTCTTTTATTATAATTTTGTATAGATATGACACTCATGAAGATTGCTTGGTCATATACCTAAAGGTAAAAAGCACAAATGTAGGTCTATTTTAAAACATAAACGGATATATTCTGCAACATTACCATTTTATGTAATAAGTCACTGATTAAAAATGAAAGAAGAATATATACATAGGTATGTCATCACCGAACTATCAAGTCAATACGATACATAGGAAGCCCGAAGCAGAGTTGCAAAACGAAAGCGGGTGCGGCCGGGACGGGCCGTGGGACGAATTTGTCACTATTACGATATCCACTACCGGAAACCACGAGGATATGTGCTAATACTCCCGATTTATTGGACAAAACAAAATGGCAGTAGTTGGGAAAATAACATAATTTTATTAAATTGAAATAAAAAATGCAACGCATGAAGTTCATTGATACATTTAACTCACTTTATATACTCCAAACAATATCTATACCAATAATAAAACTCTAACTGAGTCGAATCTGTAAATTAAATATCTTTTGGATTTATTTTATTTTAAATAATTTTTGGCTCTCTGTTTTTCTGTCTTTCTGTCTGGGAACGCATCACGAGAAAACCACTGGACGAACCCGAGCAGAGCGAGGATGAGTCGCTAGTAATATAATACATACCTATCTTATTAAATTATTAATCGATATTTTTCTCGAGACCCGATTAGTGTAGTAATGTTGTACATTTATGAAAAACGGCTAAAATATTTAAGCAAAGTTACGACTTATTATATTTATCTACACGAAAATAAGATTTAATTAATTTTTAATAAATCTTGAACGTAATTTAAACATCAAAGAAACATTGTAAGCTGCATACATAGATAAATATGTATGCAACTTTCAGTCTGTAACAGTGACGTCTCAGTTGTAAGATTTGCCATACAAAATTCAGTAAGAGCAAAAGCACTTGCTCAAAGTGCAGTTTATAGATTTACTTCAGAAACGACGTTCACTAGTTCCTTTTCAAATGCTTGCATTCGAGAATAAGTACTTTCTTTCAACAATTGTAAAAGATAAAACTTTTTAAATAAAGTCTACAAGTTTGGATAGTTACGCTCCCTGGATCAATTTTGGTGCACTAGAACAGTGTGTCAGTGACATTGAAGAGCTCGAAGGTTAGATCCCCATACGGTGGAAATATTGATAGCTTCAGGGCATAGGACCAACAAAGTGCTAAAAATACTCGTAGCAAGCAGACACTATAAACAGTATATACACCTATTGCGTTTGACTCCGAAAATCTACAGGGCGAAAAGAAAAAAATACGTTATGCATACAGCTACATCTATACTAATAATATAAAGAGGTAAAGTTTGTGACGTTATAAGGGGTAATCTCTGGATCTACTGAACCGATTTAGATAAAATTTGGTAAGAAGATAGTTTGAGACCCTTTTTTTTTTTTTTAACGTTGGGAAATGCATTTACGCACGACGTGTGGGACTCACCGGCGTAATACAGCCAGTACTACCCACTAAAACCCAACAAAACCTTCCCCCGTCTTAATGGGGCGTCGCAGGATCGCTTACGCATTCAACTACGACGCCCCGACGGCAGGTCTGCCAAAGCAGACCACCACAACCATGGGGTTGCTCCAAGGTCCACTCTGCTATCAGAGAAGTACCAGGAGCAACCCACAAGGTACACCG